TTTCTCTCTGTTAAAAATAAGAAGAAATATCCAAGACATAAATCATTGATCAAACAAAATGTAGCAGCAGAGTAGATCATTTTAACCCTTTCACCTTAACATATGCATTCATATTCTCCACACTGTTATCTTTACATTTCCCATGATGCTGACAAGAAGAATTTGTCTGATGATCACAAGCATCTTAAATGGCGATCATTTCTGCTATTCTCATGGCCTTCATATTTGATTCAAGGGTGCTACTGTAAGGAGAAATTAGACGCCAGTCTTGTGCAGTGGTTCAAGTGTTAACTAACCTTTATTAAATTTCTAGTTGTTTCAAATTGATATTTTTAGTCAATAACAAGTAAATAAATAGATTCCATACTGTAACATTGAATGTATCTGAACATTGATTGATTGATTGTTCATTATTTGATTGTGAAGTCCAACTTACTTTATAGGTGGCTGATGAGGTGCATTGGGTGGGTGTGTCTGAGGGGAACTAGGAGGTGGGGTGTTAACATCTCCATCCATAGCTTCCATATCCACTTCAACAGAATCTAGGTACTAAAAAAAAGTTATTTCCTTAGTAATTCATTCTGGTAATAGATCTGAATGCTACCTAGAGACAATGTCTTATGAATGTTTTCATCAGAGATTTAACCTTTTCAAATTACTAAGGTACACTAGCATGATCAAAAAATGTGACTGCTTACTCTGAAACAAAATTTAATTACTAAATGTAAATGCAAAAACCTCTGTTTGTTCCAATCTCTCTTAGTGGGAATAACAAAAATTCATCTTACTTTCATACAGCACTGTTACTAGATGCAGCTTTTTGATGTTACAAATCAAAGTGTCTCACTTCAGCAACAGTTGTGAATTTGCTTGATTGTGTAGAAGGGGTTTATTATTACAAAATAATGTTTAAACCAATTTAAGTCTATTAAATTATTAATTGTTGTTTCTTAATAGATCAAATCGTCCAAAGAAGTGGGGTTTAATAATGTCTGACTGTGCTGTAAAATTGCCCAAGCTTCATTCAAACTTGTAATCAAAAGAGGGCTGTTACCCAGTAACACATGTACATGAAAGAAAACAATTTAATAAGCTGGGAAGGAGGCTATCAAGTTCTAGGTTTTCTAGAAAAGGGGCTTAGTATTTAAAGTTCACTAGGCCACAATGAATTATTTCTTTGTTTTGGATCATTACTGTACATAGTGTATATAATAAGTATTTCTACATTTGAAAACCCAACTATTATCTTAATAACAGAAACTAACAAAGGCTTTCAAACACTATTAATGAAGATTGTCTATGAAATGGTAGTCTGTCCAAATGATTCAGAACACAATGGTATAACCTTGTACAAAGAATTTTGCAAAAGATCTCAAATAAGGGAACCAAACTTAATAAAGAAAGTGAGCTTCTCAGAAACTTAAAGCTTTAGCCAGGAGGTATATCATAGAAAGGGGGCCCACTTAAGTACATATGGTAACTGAAATACTTCCTAAAATCTTCCTGAAAATGAAGCTAGAGACACATGCTTACCAGACATATTGGGTCAGTCTTGAGTCGAGTCCAATGAATCTATGAATCAAAGAGATACATTTAATTTTTCACAGAGCACCTTGTTTTAGGAAAAAGCTCTGAGCAGATTTTGATCTAGAAAATCCTTCTGAGTTATACAAATAGCCACAACACAAATGCCATAAAAATGCAACAGCTTGCCTGAGGATACTAATTTTTCACTATCCCATGACCATTTTTCTTATCCAAATAAAAAAGGTTATTTTATGAAGGGCTAACAGTTCTTTACATGTTGTTAAGAATGCCAACAGTAAGTGAAACTTCATGTTTCCATTGTCATTTTTATCACTTACCAGACAAACTCAAATATATTATGGTACTTGGCATATATGACGTACCCTCACTTAGCATAGCTTCTAACACTTTGATTAAAATTTATATCCTCAGTAACTAAATTTCTCTGACTGATTAGCACTTCTGTATAGCTGACTGCTTAATTGCCTCATTTCATTCAACCTGGAGTAAAAGGATTTTCAAAATTTGAATATTCTTGAAACATTGCCAGTTCTTGAATATCTCTATAACAACATTTGGAATTCACAAATATTTCTAAACAGGAAATTCACTTTGCACTCAAGATATGAAGAAGTCTGACAAATGCAGCAAAAAAAGATTTTGCTTTCAAGAGTAGCCTTTTTATCAAATATCATTTCTATTGCCTAAAAGCTAAAATTCTATTTACATGCAAATCATTGAAACAAAAAATGTTGAACTCAAGGGTCCAGGAATTGAATTTACAATGATTACTTTTTTGTTGACACTATCTCAAGACAATGACGGGAAAGGCTTTTGCAGTTTTCAAGAATTGAATAAGTAGAAAACTGTCAAAATCATTGACCCCTTATTTTTTTTTCTACTATAATTATTTTCAAGGCTGGTCTTGGCCCATTCAAAATGGATTTATTTCCATCAAAAGGAGTCGTTCAGCTCAGACCAATGATAGGAGTGAACAAAAATAAAGGTAATAATCACTCGCAAAAAAAACCGTACTCTGCCAAATGGCATAATCTATAGGCTAAGAACATCCATCATCTTTGTGTAAACAAAACGAAAGAACACCCTCTTTCACATCTGCCACGAATATCCATCGTCGACAATATGTAGAATCACTCCTGATTAGCACTTACAAGCTTAAGCTCAAACATAAATCCCCGTTGAAGTCATACAATATAAAATATACATGCATTTACGTCGAGATGCGATCTTTTCGAAATTCACCAACACACATATTCAAGACTCCATCACAAAGAGAGAGAGAGAAGTACACCTGGAAAGATACACTATATAATTGTAAATTTAAAAAAAAAGTAACAACAATGGCTAGGCTGAAACTTTTTACCTTGGCGGATATTCTGTTGCACGTCGCTTTCGTGAGACGAATCCATGGCGGCAACTCAAGAAGCTCGGCTAGTGTTGTCTCGTCTAGCTCTAGGTTATGAAGTTCTCCTTCTCCCTTGAGAAACTTGACGCTTATTTTGTTAGGGGAGAGATTCTTCGTGAACCTGACAGAATTAAAGCGAAATAAAATGGACAACTCGTTAACAAACTCACGTGCGCGGCCCGCGTCAAATATAGCTTCGTTGGATCAATATAGCACTTTAATACCTGGCGAGTTGCTTGACGATCTGGTTCTTAACCAAACCAGACATTATGTCGCAGTGTGGGAATTAAATTGGAAGCATTTCTCCCCCATCTCTCTAATCGCTTTTCATATGATTGTTGTTCGAAGTCGTAACGCGCGCTTGCGCAACACATTCCTGAACTGGATGATGACGTAACGCTTGCCACCGGCGACAAGTGTGAAACGTTTTAGTCATCGGTCTCCGTCGACTTTCATTGGGCCTCAGAAATCATGCCTTGTTGAAGGATCCTAAAATACTCTGGCAAGCGTAAACAATTTATCGACAGTTATGGGATCATCCAGCGAAAGACCTCAAAGCGTGCAGCCCCCATGTGAATAAGAACCTCTGTCTTTCTGTTCAGAGCGATTTTCAACAATTTCCATTTTCACCATGGCGATGTTCATCTTTGATCGTCGTTTATGCTAAAATACTCAGATTTTTTTCTTTATCTCCTCTCCTTGCCACTCTTCCCTAATATATAGTTTGTACGGGTGTATGGGTTACTCAGCAAATTGAAATAGAACACTTCTCTCGCCATCCATATTCGTAAGCAACTGAGAGATTGGGCTTCACAGTGACGTGTCTCTGTCATTTAATTTATCAATTTATTTCAAAAATTGGTCATTAGCGTACTAGTGGGGCTAAAAAATCTGGCGTTAGTATTTTTTATTAGTTTGGATAGAGTTGTTTCGATAGGATGTGGCCATTGTTACCACTTTTCTTGCAGGTAGAATGATTTTCGCTTTAGATGGTGCTGTTCACGAACCCTTGAGAGCATTTGCTGAACACACAGCTGAATACAATACAATTGGGGTTTTCCATCAGATATCTTGACGGAAAGCCTGGTTAATATTAACATCTGGCCCACATTGAAAAATTGCTGAAGGACTCAAAAGTTGTGTCACGCAATACTCCTGTTTGTGGGTCATATGTTTGTCACGTATCATGTTTGCGTTGGGTGGGAGCACTAAGCTTCCACATTTTAAAGCAATTTCTCTTTTTCGATTGGAAAAAATGTAGCGATATTGGAAAACAGGAATTTGTTAAATTCTGAGATTTTTGGCCGTAAAAGTATCGAAATTTCTACGAACTCATTATTATGATGAATCATGGTCAGGTCGAAAAACCCATAAGTTCATATGTCGAGAACAATTTCCTTGAAAATATATCGGCGATGTTCCTTTAGGAAATTAGTTTCAAATGAAAGCTGTCAACATTCATTCTGGTGATACAGACATAACATAACGAGCACATGTCTTTGCTTACCTGAACAAAGTATGTAGAACTTGTAGCTTCTTCGTGATATTTATGTTCATTGCGACTGCTAGATTCCTTCGCGATAATTCCTAGACGCTGCCATTGTCGAGAGAAAGACCACTTTCAATTGAAGTTCGAACTCGTTTAACCTCACAAATGTTTTTTTCCTGCGTATTATTACTTTTCCTCGAATGAATAATAAATGCACACTTTCCATAACACTCAAGATCATATCTTCCGAAAATTTTGCGCTATTAGCCGTAACACATGTTTATTGCAAGGTAGTGAATCATATAAAAGTTATAAATCTTTGATGGTTTTCGTCCTCAAAAACTTGGCTGTAACCGCATTTCAAATTTATAAATATTTTGGCGTCGGAAGCCAAATAGATAAATACAGTTGTAGACTTAATATGCACAATATTTATTTTTCATCAATGGTGTTTCATGTTTGTATGTGTTCCACAGTTATAACAACAATTTAGCGACGCTTGCAGGAATACAGAAGCCAACAAAGTAAATTATACATGAGATGAGACTGAAACCCAAATAATTTCTTTCGCTTTTATTGTTCCGTGCTGTACATCCCATAACGTAGCTTAAACATGCATCATTCAAAAACCGCAATCTTTCATCTGCATACACGTAATTTTTTAAATGCATTACCTCAGTAATCAAGACATCAAACGTTAAAACTCTACAAGTAAGAATTGATTTTTATTCGAACGATCAATCATCCTTTTTCCAGTGGTTTTATGAATTTGAATTAAAAGCCCGTTGACATCATATTTCAAAGTGAAAAATGTGAAACGACCGAAAGCAGAAAAAGCTGATGAAAGACCCAACGAAGAACTACCGCTAAAAGAATGTCGGAAAAGAGTAAAAAATAATATTAATACATTGAAAACTACTTCAAAAGAGAGAGGGTTACTGGGCCAGGAAAAGGAGGAAGAGTATTTATGGATTTTTTTCTTTAAAAGATGTCCATTAGAATACGTAGTACCGCCAAAGGGATACAGGATTTACAGTTTCTAAAGAAACTGTCGTTAAATGCAGTTTTTAAAGAAATTGTGACACTGCGTCGGTGGAAAGTAACACTTAATGATTTGGTTTTATCAATCGAGTTCATAATGTGAATTGGCCACCGTAGAGTTTCTAAAGCTGATCGGAGCGAAGAGCTTCTGACGAAGGGCTAACACTCGAAAACGGAAGGAAGAGTATCTATGATTTTTTTTTTGAAAGATTTCCATAAGGATACGCGTTATCACCAAACTGACCAAGGGATTACAGTTTCTGAATCACTGTGGTTACAGTTTCTACAGAAACTGTGATACTGCTTCGGTGAAGCTACCAATGATAATTTAATATTATCGATTGAGTTTATAATGTAAGTTATAACATGGCTAGTAAATTTGTCTCATCAAATTCAATTGCGCGAGCGTGCTTCATATTCCTATTGAGCACGCTCTCATGAGCATGAAAAAAATTTCCATCGGGTTGAAAATGTCATAAAACAATTGGTTCATACGTCAGCTGTGCGTTCATCGAGATATGAAGCACTTGGGAAGTTAAGAGAGCACTCAAGAAGCTAGAGTTGCTCCTGGCTACGCCTCTTACGCATCTTTCGTGCGCTCCAAACTTCCCGCGTGCTTCATATCTCGATGAACGCACGCTGACGTATGAACCAATTGTTAATTGGCCACCTTAGAGTTTCTAAAGCTGACGTCTCGAGCGTTAGCCCTTCGTCATGGCGGAGAGCCTCTGACAAGGAGTTAACACTCGAAATTTCAACTTTAGAAACTCTTTACGGTGGAAAATTTACATTAAGATCAGATAGGACCAGATTATCTTCTGCCAGCGAAGGAACATGTTTGGAACGGAATGGTAGTGAACCAAGCCTGATCATTATCCTCCTTCTCATAGAAGAATAAACCCAAGCAAGTATTCCGTTTTGCCGTGTGTCTGTCCTGTTATAGATCACTTTTGGTAAGTACCACCAATACATCTAGTTCTTTCCAAATTCTGACGTCAACTGCTACCTACACTTTAAGAGACAAAATCGAATCTACTTGTCACTTAAAAAATGCAAAAATGTTGTCAATTTGTATTAATCTACCTTTTCTTTTTTTAAAGGTTTGGAAAGTTTCTTATCGATAATTCATTCCCCACACTAAACCATTTCGTATCAGCTGTGTCCAGAAAATTCTTGTCACAACATTAACACGTTTTCTTTCAGAAAGGTGACCATGAGATGTCAGGAAAACATCCAAAAGATAGCATTTTTGGAACTAACGCAAATTTTCCGAGCTTAACCTGCAGGAAATATATGCCAAACAGTGCAGAGAACTCACAAAAAGGGTTATAACCAATTCACTAAAGAAAACGAAGCAATTCGCACGTTGGAGAGTTAAATTGGGTAATGAAAAGTAAAACAAAAACAAACGAAAACAAAAACAAAAGAGACAAACACAACAACACAACAATTCGAAACAAAACAAAACGAACAAACACAACAACAAACACGACAGTTCAAAACGAAAAACGAAACAAAACAAAACTAAAAGGAGACATAAACAAACCCAGAAGGCTTTGCTAAAGAGAGTGAAAAGTTTAGATGAGAAAAAGTTTAGATGACAATAAACGGAGAAGTGTCACGAATTGTGAACGATATATTCTATTAAATTCGCTGATTGCATCCTATGCGTAATACAAGAATATCATCTCAATGAGTAATTATCATTTCTCTCAGTTTGTTGTTATTCAAAAGAAAAAAGGAAAGATGTTTATGTTTAGTAAAGGATTCAATTACATATTACAACTTGACGCTAAACAGCTTAAATAAATAAACTGCCTTCCCTATAAAAACTCAGATTAATATTAAAACTAATCATTTATCACCCTCACACGAAATACTCATCGCCATATACTTATGTATTAAAGCAATGTCAATTGAATTCTAGTCATAAATTCTGTTGTTGTTTCCACGAATTTTCACTTTGAAAGAAGACCCACCGTCACCACCCCTCTTCTTCTTAAATATGTTCCCTACTTGAATTGCAGGTCAACTGGCATCAATTCGGTTTTCAGTTCACTATAACTTAACTTAAAACACTCTATAAATGTCACATAATATTCTTCAAAGAACGCATTTCAAAGATTAGCGTTATTCATACAATGGAGTGAAATAATGAAAAATTGGCTCGGTACCCAGCTCAACCAATAATTTTGGTCACGCCGATGTTGAAGAGATAGTGTGACTCATCGTTGAGAGAATGCGTTACAAAAAATCGACTGAAGTCACGATGACTAGCATTAGACCGAGTCACTAATATTACTAAAGCGTAGTAGAGACCTTGTTTTAAATTTTGTCTGGATTTTAAGTTATTGCAGGAATACTTGTGCACGCCATTTTAGTATGTGAAGGAGAGGTTGCTTATTCATACTGAAAACCATTCCCGTAGGGAAACAGTTTAATCACTGAAGAGTCGATGCTTTGTGTCTTCTTCATCTTCGCCAGTGTCCGAGCCACATTCGGAAGCGACTGGAGATGGTGGTTCCGAGCTTGGGCGTGGATAAGTGAAATTCGATTGCTGAAAAATAGCATCAAATGTTTAATGTCCAAAAATTAATTGACAGTCATGTGATCAATCACAAATCAACTTGAATGGTACAAAAATGCTTTGCTTCGCCAACAAAAAATAAAGGTTCAAACGGTCAAAAACTAAACGGTTATCAAGCCCAGCTTTGTTACCTACCGATTACGGGTTCAAAAGTGTCCTATATCGGTAAATAGTGCAGAAAAAGTTACACAAAATGTTAATTTAGTGTTTTGTCAGGATACAGGAACATTTGAGGAATGCTTCCGTCAGCTCTACACAAATCATCTTTGTACACCTCCCGTGCGAGGCGAAGTCATGACATGCCATTGTTAACCGATCGTGTAGCTTTAGAAGTTTTCAATTCAATGCTGTAAGTAATTTGGGACAGTTATCCATATTTGTATTTTCTTTAATACTCACACCACCCTCCTAAGGTCGCTTAGTCCTTCACTTTGTTATAGATACTGTAAATTCCCATCAGCAGATTAGCTCCATGTGATATTTAATTTTGTTCTGACTAGCTGCTGTGATCACTGACTTTGATAACTGTTTTATAATATTTTGGTTTCAAAAGACAGTTAAGTACGGAATTCAGAAAGAACTACAGGTCGTAGAATGACGCTAGAAGAAGATGTTGCAGAGTTGTCTCACATGCAAAACAGAAAATCCGCCGCATCCCACATATTTATGAGTATTTGGCTCGAGTTCATGACGTACAAACCGAGCACAACAAGGTCCATGCGTCGTGAATGAGAACCAAATATTTTCCCGTCCGGCTCTCTCACTCAGTTAATAAGCATTTTATCATATGACCACGAAGTCTTGAAAATTTCGAAAATTTTATTTTAAGTTAAATGGGATACGGCGTATAGGGGACAACTACAAAAAAAGATTCTACAATATTACTTTTTGTCATTTAATTATTGGTTGAAAGTCAATTTGACAATCTATTCTTAAATCATCTTTCTCTTGCGGAACAGGATACTCATATATATGTAAAATGCGGCGAATTTTCTTTTTTGCATGTGAGACATGTATTCTGCAACACTTCCTTCTAGCGTCACTCTACCTCAGTAAATAAGTATACAAGCTTGAAAAGAGGACAGCATTAATTACCCATTAACCAACATCACTGGGAGCTCACCGCTTCCTCGGTCATGTTCGGCTTCTCGTATTTGTCCGGTTGAAGATGATGCAAGGCAAGTAACCGTGCTCGGGTGTAATACTGAAACAAGAAACAGGAGTTTTAGATCAGTTTTCACTTCACAGTACACAGGTTTGCTGCTGCCGGAGCTTATTCCTAATTCTGTAACACTAAGCCATTAGAAGTATTATCACTCCTCCTGGAAAGGAGTCCTTCGCAGGACACCACAAGGAATAAAGTTCCCTAGCGGAGTGCTGGTATCTAGTTACACTTCTGGATGGAGAGATGGTCAGTCATAGCGAAGTGCACGGTCTGAAAAGACAAGCAAACTCAGACCTTTCGACCAATGGGTCATATGCAGCATTCCGCTGGCCAGTTGGTCGGCAACGCAAGGTTTTTTCTGCCTCATTGAAAGTGCTGCAACATGAGCGTTTCCTTGCCCTAGAGAAAGTTTGAAGCCTTGAACAAGGCGAGCCTCGCAGGTTCGCCTTAAACATAATCGTGGAGAAAAAACACTCGTGCTGCTCGCAGGTTAAGTTTTCACGAGCACTGATTGTAACAAAGCAATCAGTTTTTAGTTTTCTCCGGAAAGTGAAAGGGATCTCACCCGGTGAAGACTCCTCCAATCCAATAATTCACTAAGACGCTCGGTCCTGTTCCTCTGAATGATTCGCTGTCTTCTTGTCAGTTTGCAAAAGCTCATCATGTACTGAAACAGAGAGCGTACACCATAATATCAGTTTGAAAGTTTAGTCTGGATATGACTCGCACAGCAAAAAAGAACTTACTCCGAATTCTGTTGCATGGGTGACTGCTGGTCTATTGAAGGCTACCCCCTACATATCGTCAGTTTTCCTGACAATTTGCTTGTAAAAATTTGTTCATACTACATGTCGTAGAGAGACACGGTGAGAGGAGAGTTTCGTGACCTTGAACGCAACAGAATGATCCGGACCAGGGGATTGTTTAATTGAATTTGGGAAGTAATCCGGGCTTGCACTGGTTTCAGTTAGCTTATCTTCACTTTTTGATTGTTTGCGAAAATTCAAGTTTTCTTGCGCCTCAGTTTTGTACTTCTTGATTTCGTTTTGCGACACTCGATTTTTAATAGCTTTACAATAATAACTTGCCATCCCCTTAGAACATTCATGCATTTTGCATCACAGATTATGGTGTGTTAAGATTCACAAAACGCAGCGGAAACAAAGCAATAGACAACAGGCCATCTCTATGGATAAAGTGCTGAAAGATTACCCTGGTTGTAATTTTTTTTCTATCACGACTGAATGCACTGTATGCGCTCTCATAACAAGCAAAAAAATTCCGTGCACACCATTGCATTAGTGGAAAATAGAGGGGGCTGCTCTGTCAAATGCAAGGTTTCATTTAATTATAGCAGAATTTTCAGTTGAGATTACGCGGTGGATTGGGGTTAGAAGGACTCAAAAGGAATTTTAGGGGTTGGCAGGGTTGTGGGTAGTTTTTACCTGAGGCAAGCTAGCAACACAGATGGTGCTCAATATGACTGGGTGTTCTGTAGTTAATGAATAAAGTGGTAAGTTTCTAAAGAAACTGTGGTGCTGCGTCGGTGGGAGAGTATAGCAGGTAATTTAGTGTTAACAACTGGGTTGAAAACGTAAATTAGCCACCGTAAAGAGTAAAAAAGCTAAGCTTTTTCTAGCTTTTTTACTCTTTACGGTGGCTAATTTACGTTTTCAACCCAGTTGTTAACACTAAATTACCTGCTGTTCTGTAGTTAAGCCGAGTAACGCAAATCAGACTGTGTTACATGTCGTCTAACCTGCGTGAGTTCATCAATTGACTCTTCAGCTGACTTGAATCTCCTGTCCACAAGATAAATGCCGTAGGATGTAGGATCAGTCACGTGTTCTGCCATGAACCGACCAAATCCTGACAGATTAGTGGACACGGAGGGGATTCCCATCACGGTACACTCCGCTGTGCAAAGGAAAGTCAAAATATTGTGCCATCGTCAACCAAATGCGACATCCAATTAACAACTTAGAAATAATCGGCAAAACACAAGGAAAAGCAAAAACAAACAAAGATATCTAACGATGCGACGAGCCATTTACGTCTCTCATGAGATTTATAAAGGAACAATGTGAGAAATCGCTTGACTTCAAATGCATTTCGTGATTTGAAGGCACGAATGAAATTGTTTGAAAGATTTTTAGATGCACGAGTCCTACGTAGTTAAAATCCTAAAGATCTCAAAATTACTAACATAGTTTCTTTGAACTGAATAGTAACGATATTTTTGACAAGTAAATCAAGCCAAAGACTGTTTCCATATCACTTTTGTGTTCATCCTAAAATAAAGTGCTCGATTCAGAGCATCACACTTCAAGAATATGAAAAGTAGGAATTAAAACCCTGAGCCTAACCATTATCCAAAAGCAAATGTGTATGTAACATTTGATAATTCATAAATGGATCCTATAATGTTAGAATAGAAATAGGTTGTTGTACCTGGAGTGTAACCCCAAGGCTCATAATAAGAAGGAAACACCCCCAAATGGCAGCCACGCACAAACTCGCTGTAGTCAATGGGAAGAAGTGGACTAATGGTGGATAAGAATTCAGGATGGAAAATAACCTAAGATAACAGCAAAACAAAAAAGTCAGTTATTTATCACTGTCCTGAGTTCAAGACTGCAGGGAAGGGGAGGGGAGGGGAGGGGAGGGGGAAGGGGTGGGGGAAAGGGAGGGGAGGGGAGGGGGAAGGGGTGGAAATGTAGGTGCGCGTTTCGGAAACATCTCGGCAGGATGTTGCGTAGAAGACATAAACAGTCTCATCCACGTGTTGCAATGTCAAACGTCAAGCAACGCGTTTTCTATGGAAAGAATGCAAGAATTAAGAAATGACTGCCAGGAGACTGTGAACAGAGAAATGAATAAAGACTTACCTTGACTCTGTCCTCAGGCTTATTGAAAAGATTTGTCCTTCGAAGGTGACACAGAATAGGGTCCACAGAATCTTCTAACATATTGTGAGTTACAATGGCGGGAAGGTTTGGACGCTGCAAATTATGAACCAAGCGTCAAATATTTTAATTGAACTAATTTAGCAATGATTATCCATGTCTCGATCTATCGATTTCGTAGCTGAGCCACTAAAGTCGAGAAACGCGAATGAAGTATTGAGAGACAGAGATGGTTACGAATAATAAGATTAACACAGTTTATAAACACCAAGTTTAAAAAATGAATGCTGCTGCCCGGCTTTATACCAAAGACGTATTTTGTGTTATCATAATTTTAAAATGAAATAAACTGTGACGAGATTCCTTTGCGGGAAAGATGACCTCTCTCAAATCTACCTCGCTCCCAACATGAGGCTTCGTAGCTCAGTTGATAGTAGCGCCTAACTAGTATCTGCTGCGTCCGGGTGAGAGAGTACAACAGGGTAATTTGGTAAATTGGCTACCGTAAAGAGATTCAAAGCTGACGTTTCGAGCGGTGGCTCTTCGTCAGAGCGAATAGGGAGTCGTGGGTTGTGTGTGTGTTTCTATGCAGAAAATGGAGCTACGCTATTGGTGGAAACATGGTAACTAAAAAAAAAACCAAGAATAAATCAGTGAATGAAAAGTGTTCGTTGATACGGGTATCGGTAATAATCTAAAAATAATCTAATAATCAATAATGATAGCGTAGCTCCATCTTCCTTCATGAATCGCTCTGACGGAGGGCCAACGCTCGAAACGTCATCTTTGAAACTCTTAATGGTGGCCAATTTACGTTATCAACTCAGTTCATAATATCAAAATACCTTAGTATCTGGAGCCACGGGTTCGAATCCTGTCGAAACCTGAATTTTTTCAGGTTTCTTTTCTGCAGTAGCTTAAATTGCAGTTCACCCGCAAGGAGCACTTCTTTTCGTGTAAGTAGTCTTGTTGATTATTTACGACTGATAAATATTTAAATGCGACTTGGTCACTGGCGATTTCTCGCGCTTGGGGTTGTTGACGCACATTTCTGATAAGTTCCTTTTTACGTCAACCCTGATTGGTTGATGTGACTACTTGGTTTCAAGACATTACTGTGTCAATAAATGCGCCATTTTCTTGCTCGAAAACTAAATAGAGTGTTTTTTGCACATGATAGTACGTTTTAATTATTGTTTCAAATCTTGTATTGTTGTAGCAATTTTTTCGGCCAAGAAAAACCAGTCAATGTTACCTTGGCGCCGAGGATGCATCTCTTCAGCTTGATGATCTCATCTGCCTCTAAAAGCTTATTGCCATCCGGAAGCTTTCCCCTGTGTTCAAGATGAAAATAGTTATAACTAAACGGTTTACAACTAAAATATTTCAAATTCTTTAATCATAACAGAATTGAGGTGAATAGTGGCGAAATTAATTAATACACTTATTCGTTCCTGTGGTTCTCGAGTGGTCGATTTCGATATAGACAATTGACCTCTGAAGGAATATGGGCGGTTGATTTGCAAATTCTTCCTACCCCTAAACATATCTATCATGCGACAGGATGGAAAACAAACTTTTTCAGGGTTCATTGCGACTATGATAACCTCGCAATCTTGCGCAGGGATCAGATATGAATGCAAAAACGACCACGCAATTTTTTTCCCTCCTACAATGAATGAAAGAAGCTTTGAAACAAAATGACATGATCACCACCAACATAATGCTACAGGGACTTACCCAAGACAAGACTCGTATATCCGTTTTCCAATTTTATCTTGGATTTCAGAGACTGTGTCACTAAGAAGAGGGAACAAATCATAGAAGTGAATGAAAACAGAGTGTTAATTGTTATCGTTATTGTTATTACTAGTACCATTATCACTACACTTGTCATCGGTATTACTTTCATAAACAGCATCACATCATTCTCGTTACAAATTATTATCATAATAAGTATTCTCATTATCAGATTAATCACCACCACCTAAATTCGTGAAGTTTGAGATATTTAGTAATTTTACTACACTAACGCACGAAGAGTAATAAACTATTAAGTTACGATTTCACGGCAAATATACGCACTAGTGTAACGGCAATTTTCAATTGAGTGTCGAAAGTAATCTGCGATTGCATTGGTTTTTCTTTTCTTCGCTCTGTGATTGGTCCAGAAAACTCGCACGACTTTCTCAACCAATCAGATGCAAAACTGAAACCAATTAGGACTTGGACGCCCGCGTTTTCCCGCGCTTTAGGTAGTTTGGTTGTTTTTATTTTGAGTTCTCATTGGCTCTTTTAAAGATATGTTCCTTCCTCCCAATTGGCCGTTGTGATTACTATGTCGATTACTATGGGTTTGGCCGCGCCTGAGTAATATTTCTATGGCAAGTGAGTGCGTTTATTGCAGTATTAATCATATCCATTTCTAGTCGTGAAAAAATATTCAACAACCGGAAAAATTTATAGGTTAACACTACATAGCTTACAATAAATCACCAAACCAAGGAACAGTGTTTTCACCTGAGCTGTTTAGTGACAGCTTGTCCTTTCAGTGAATCAACATTGAAGTTGCTAGTCCGCGCGGGAAAGATTAGAAATGCGACTACAGTAACATCACTGCCACTGGACTGAAAGAAAACAAGAAAAACCGTACACTCACAATAAAAAATCGGGGAATTTCAACCTTGAGAAAGTGTAGGCTGCAAGGTAACCGCTAAAAGAATAAATCAAAAGTACCCAGAGATAGGGTCGAAGTAGTTGTTGACTCCACCTGCTACAGAAATCAAGTGATTTATTTATTACTGTAAGATCGCTATGAGTAATAATCTCACATCTATCTAGCTGACGCATTCCTTTTGATAAGAACAAGCTTCACAATTCTAGGAAGTTATCAAATCTACAAATACACCTGTTTTTGCTTTGCAGTTGGGTAATTGTCTCAAAAATATACAAATAAATCAGCATTCATCATTTTTTCATGTACATCATGAACAACCTACCTTTTTCTTTAATTTTTAATTTCATACTAATTTATCTCTAGTTAGAGGTACACTGTTGATACAATAATTTTTATCTCCTCTAAAAACATGAGAATATCATCATCAACATTGTTGTTGTTATCAATATCATGCAACAGTATCGGGGCAAAAATACCTTTAACAGGTGATTAAGCCTGGCTAATGCTTCAATGTACAAGTCAGCTCCTTTGTTGAAGTACTCGTACCTAAAGAGAAGTTTTGAATAGATACAGACAGCATAATCACAGGGTTTCTCTGACCGTATGTAATATTCAAACTGGAACTCCCAAAATATAATTTCAACATGTAATTCTCATTTATACATTTCCTTGTCAGTCAGTTAGGAGAATTTAGTTTTGGATTTGAATAAGGATAACACTCTGTGGCTGATGGTTTTGGTTCATTCCCATCACCTGCTTGTTGAATATTATATTACAACAGTGTGGAGAAATTTAATACTGATCACATCTGAGAGTTAGGAAGTGGTTGATGAATGATGGCCTACCTCCCAGCACTGAAGAAGAACAATGTCTTGTCCATATCAAAATCCAGATGTCTGAAAATGAATGTTATTTGAAAAAGTTGAGGTGTTAAGCTAAAAACCACACTAAAGCAGGTAATGAACAAAAAGGTTAAACTGAGATGTCAATAATCAATTAACTCAAAAATGTTCCATGTTACATACCCATGAAAATGACCTCGCACAAAGTTACAAATCTTCTCTTTGGAAATGGCATGAAGATTCTGGAACTCATGTAGAGCTCTAAAAAAAGTTGAAACAAATAATAAAAAATGTTAAAAAATCTGGTTTCCTTTTTCAAGTAAATAAACAAGTTTAATAACCAAAAGATGGATTTTAATGCAGTATCTTTCACATAACTAGTAATTTTTTACTTGTACTGTTATGCACTGTCTATACTATGTGTTCTAAATAAAATTCCAGTGACAAAATCTGTCAAAACTATGGCTAATCAATATTAACCCTTTCATTCCTACCCAAGTTGACTGTGGGGAGGAAAAGTGTTGCTGTAACTTTTGAGTATGACGCTAAAATATTTTAGTAATTAACATTCACACATGGTCACCATCTTTCACTGCAATTTTACATGTCATTTTCATTTTCCTTTGATTTAGAGAACGACATTTAAGGTTTCTCTTAAAGAGTTGAATTGTAGCTTCTGGTGATTTTGTGTTCCATTTAACAACATAGTTAACAATTGGTTCATATGTCTCATCGAGATATGAAGCAGGCGGGAAGTTTGGAGAGCATGAAAGATGCATAAGAGTTGCTTGAGGCGTAGCCAAGAGCAACTCTAGCTTTTTGAGTGCTCTTCAAACTTCCCAAGTGCTTCGTATCTTGATGAACGTACAGCTGATGTATGAACCAATTGTTTTATAACATTTTCAACCAGATGGAAAATTTTTTTTCTTGAGGGATTTGTTTGCTGACGTCATGAGCGTGCACAATAGGTAAATGAAGCACACTTGCGCAATTGAATTTGATCACATAAATTTACTAGCTATGTTATAATCATATTTAATCAGGTACTTTAAAAAGATCTAATATTCATTTTGAGGTCAATTACTTTTAATTAATACATAACTCCTTAAATGTTTGCTTTCTTATGAAAAAGAGAGAAAACAAAGATTTTTAAATAAATACACCTTGGATGAATCACAAAATAGAGGTGCAGAATGAAGAACAAAAAGAAAATACTTACGTGTATTTGATAACATTTAGACCATTGGGTAGAACAATTTCTGAAAAAAGAACAAAAAAATTGTATCAAAATGTATCCTTATTGAACTGTATTGAACTTTTGTCACCAAAAAAATTTAAATGTTATCAAGCAAGAAAAAACATCTCTGAAAATAACTAGATAAGGTTTATCTTCTCCATTACATCCATTCAATTTGATTCAGAAATTAAGCAACAAAATGCCACTTTCACTAACAGATAGTAAAAGCTTGAGGCTCTAGTCAAATTTCTGTAGTGAAAGCCATAAAAATGTGGCCACATGACTTACCAGCTCTTCTTTTAAGTAAATGCTCTGCTTCATCTGCTGTGATGTGTGACACAGTAGTGAATACATGGGCATTGTTTGCAGCTGCTCGCTCAAGGCAGTAACGATGATAAATCTTGCGATCTCCAGCTTCCTGAAATCAGGATGAAGAGACAACCTATCAGGTCACTGCTGCAGAGCTTTAAATTTGAAATAAAAATCAAAAGGCTAGTACAAGGAAGGAAGGAAGGAAAGCAAAGAGACCCAAACATAGGTTTTACTCAATAATGAAATACATTCTCTACTAACCTTGTCAACATCAAACTGATGAACACAATCAGCAAACATGAAAAGGAAAAACAAATTTAGTATAGTTTCAAGCAAAAGATTTCTTTGGTTTACAACACAGAGCAACCTTTGGCAATAGATTTGAAACTCTACTGCTAAAAAATGCGATGATATTAAGTGAAATGAGAAATTCAGCTGATAGATGACTTGTGCTCAACTGTGTAGAATAATTGTGAGCTTTTCAATGTATGTGGATCATGACAAGTTCTTCTCAGGTGATGATGTCAGCTGGTTATAATCACCTAAGAGGAACTTGTCATGATCAATATGCCAATATACAGTTAATTGTGAAAACTGACCCTTCAATGCTGGTTTTCAACAGCTGTATTGATTACATTTGCACACTTCACAGCAAAAGCATTATATTTCAAGAGGTGAAAAGTAAGAACCTGAGTTCATCATCCAATGACGACTATAAGCAAGCACTTATGATGTTGTGAGGCATATTGGAAGTGACTTCATCAAGCTAAGCAATACACTTCTACCATTTCTGTTGCTGACAATCAGGCATGTTGATTATATTGTACCATACATTTATCTAAAAGCATTATCCAAGTTTTTACAATTTTTGATACCCTATGCTCACAGAACACTGAACATTCTATTACTAAAAGTAGTTACCAGTAAGTTAACAAATCACAGAGTAAAAACTTGGTTGACTTACCCTATCTAAATTATTATAGAAGTCCACATTGGCTGCACAAAGGTAACGGCCCAACAGTGTTGCATGTGTTGTGAAAATTGTTGCCACAGCTACATTTGTCATGCGCAGGAGAACCAATCCCACCCCAGCCTGCCACTCATGGAAATGTGCAGCTATAGGCAGGTCAGGTTCACATCTAGTACGAAACTGAGAACAAAAACATTACTGCATCAATTTATTGACCATTCATAATTAAACTAGAATATGGTTAATTGACATTTTGCCTTGTAAAATTCAGCAATCAAAGAGATTCCATGTGTCTGCACCCATATATTAATTTAATAGATCACAGATGATGTCAAAATATGGTAAGAACAGGACAATTGCACACAAGGTACAGATGAGTGTGTCACTGATGTTCTTAACACATTTTGACATTCCTGATCTATTACTGTACAGACCCATGGCCACATGAAATCTATTTGTTTTATATAACCAAAAAGCAAAAATTTCTAAATAGTGATGTCATTTATACCTATTTCCTTTAATAGGTTACGTGTAAGAACCAATCAATTAAAAATTAAAAAAGCACACCAATTTTATCCCCCTTTCCCTTAATCAAACCCCTTTCCCTTAATCAAACCCCTTTCCCTCAACAATTTTCCCCTTTGTGTTCTGTTTGTCTCCCATTCCTTGTTATATCTAAAGAAGAATCTTTAAATTTATAAAGCCATAGGCACTTATGCTCCAACATTACTGCACCTCTCCAATAAACTGTGCAACTAGGAATCCCAACACAACAGCATCATTAGACTCTGTGTCAAGGTCAGGGATACCAATGTGAGTTTTCTTCCAAAAGTCATTCTTCATTTGACCCAGCTTGTGGTAAATTGAGCCAATGTTGAAAAGAACCACCTAAACATTGATATTGTAAACAGTATAACTATTGAAATATGCAAATTTTATGACTTCCATAACTTGTAATCGTATTGATAACTAAGAGAAATCTCTTCTTTTTTCTGGGAATTTGTGTTTGAGAGAGAGAGAGAGAGAGAACCATTCAATTTTTCATATTTATCAACATTTTCAATGAAACTTGAAGTCCATAATTATCACTGATAGCTGTTCAAAAAACCATGTATGTTATTTTAATCAAGTAAAAGATTTCATGATATGTTCACTTTGACAAACAAATAACTATTCATCTATTCACCTTGGGATATCCATCAATCAACCATCTTCCAAAATGAGTCTGCATGAAAAATGACAAAAACATGAACACTCCAATTTTATAATCACTAAATGAAGTTATTTGGAGAGATATGGTACTGTCGCGACACAAGGTCTAGGTTGAAGACTTTGGTAGGTCATTGTGCTGTGTTCTTGGGCAAGACATTTCACTCTTACAAGCCTTGTTCCACCCATTAGTGTACAGGGTACTAGCAAACTGCTTGGGAAGCCTGATGAAATTCCGGGGGGAAGGAACCAGTGATACACTGGAAATTCCCATCTAGGGGATGTAGCAATACTCCTAGTGGTTTTGTGCCAAAGAAACTACAATGAGCTCTCACAAATTTCTGCAAATGGCCAGCATATGATGCACCTGTTCAAATTTTTTTTCAATTTTAAATTCATCTTTAGGCTTGTAAAGGACTTCCTAAGAGCATTCTAGCAAAGAGAGACAGGTAGAAATACATTGTTCTGTCCATCTGGACAAGGCTGATGAGGTCCCATGTCAAATGATGTGACCTGACTTTACAGTGCCGTGCAACAATTTAGAAAAGTAAACCCAGATTTGTTAAAATCCGACACAATTAATGACTCATTTAATAACCATTCACTTAGTTTTTTCTTTTGGTATAAGTAATAAATGTCTCATACCTCTACACCACTGTCTCTCATGGCCTGAATAGCACCTTTAATGGCAGGGTCTTCAGGTTCCACCATTTCGACCTCAGTCTTGCACTGCAGATCATTATAAATTCCTATCAAGCAATACTTGTTTCCTAGTACATCAACTGCGGCAGGTGCCTTAGATCTGATCACAGTGTAGATCCCACCAACTAAATTCAAACACAAAAAGCCATATATAATTTTTTTGCATTGTACAAAATATATGCCGTCATAGTAGCATAAGGCCCTTTAAAAATTTGTTGTAGAGAAATTTCAACAACATTCTTACAAGATGAAACTCCTAAATGAAAGGGACAGGAATGAAATTCCAATATAGTTGGCTGTGAAGGCATTGCTCAGCTTGTAGTAAAGAAAATAAATTAAAAAAACCATGATTTAGCTGGCTTTGTGATAGGTCTCTATCCAATAAAAAGGAAGCTAATAACCTTAATACAATTGCCATAAATCATTTTGCCTCCTACCAGCTGTCTGCTATTTCCAGATGATGTGTTTGAAATGAACAAGGATCAGATGGCAACCAGATTTGCCTCTTTGAGAAATTTCATCAAAAATCCAAACTTTTTTACAGCAGCTACCCACCCAACCAAGATCAATTTCCCAGGACATCAAACAGGTGCCAAATTAGCTCAGAGCTACTTTGGTGTTATGAATATCTCACATGTAAAGAGAGATCAGTTTGGTAAGTATGTTCTATTTGTCACCCTTCTCAAAGGGATACCGACTATACCCATCCCTGATATCTACTGTTCTCCTTTTCAGGAGGTAGCCAGTAAAATTTAACAAATGTAGCATTTTTTATTACCACCAAAATTACTTAAAATTCTTGAGAATTTAACAGGTGCAAGGATTATTTGGAAAGAAAAAAGGGGGACACTGAGTTTTATCAACTTTTTCCTCAAACCATAATTTCCCAAGCAGCAAACTTGCCTCACCTGCATCTACATTTGCATGTATGTTGTGCCAAGTTTATTGTCATGCACAATTTAAGAAAACAATGCAAAAAATGCTAACCATTAAGAAAATAATTAAAAGTTATGATAATAAGTTCCTTTCAGTAAATGATGAAGAAAGAGTCAGACGTAATTCATGAGATTAATTTATAGCATCAATTTTTCACAATGTTCAAAACAATAGCACCAGTTTCTTAACTACAAGGATACTCCCTAGTGTCATTCGATCATTAGAAATTAAACAGTCACGCACCTAAAAATAAACAAATTCTGACGTCGACAAACAAGAACATCAGCTGATCGAATTGGCTGCGCTTTCGAGCCTTTCGTGGCAATCGGGGAAAGAGACTGTCAATGGTAGCAAAGAAAAAAGGAGGGATTTACTACTTTAATTAAAACAATAATGAAACCAATCGAGGTCAAAGTAGGAATGTCTGTGCTAAGCTCGCTCCGTCTGAAAGCAGCCTCTGAAAACAGTCAGATTTCTGACGACTTGGAAATTACAACAATCACTAGCGAACATCACAGATAGTCAGTGCATGAAAGATGACAATGCTTTGCAAGGGGATGCAAAATATTGACGTTACTTATTAACTTTAGATCTGGACCAAGTCAAACAGAGCAGGGGGTGGGAAGCAATTAGCATCCCTGCCGTCTTGAAAAAGTGAATATGTAACAAGAATACGTGAGACTTACCTTTGTTGGCAACCTCCCACGAGACTTCAAAGGTAAAATAGTGAGGCTCCTGATTCGGAACTCCATCCCAAGGGCGCACTACGATGTCTGAAGCCGTACTTAACGTCCTCTCCATACTGCGCTCACAACCAACGCCGATATTACTCACAGGTATTCCCGCTGGCTCTAAGGATTGTATACCTGATCTAATTGTTTCCATGTCACCATCGGTCTGATCCCTTCGACTCCTCATCAGAGCTCTTTGTTTTTGCAACTTCGAGAAAAAGGAAACCAACGGGATGCTTTCCGTGCTTTCAAAGAACGAAGTAAACAAACGGAAAATCAGACGGAAGCAAGATGATGGGTCGCACATTCCATGTATTCACAGAGCATCCACGAAAAGTCTGTTTTTTTCTTAAATACGAAAAAATAGAACGCGATATTACCTTCGCTTTCAAAGATCTATTGGAAACTGTAAAAACCTTCCCTTTTCTGTATTTTATGTTTACGCTCACATGATGTAATAACAACTGAAACGGTTCATCGATTGAATGTTGGCATGTGCGACCCTCGTGTTTAGAATGGACTTACAGACTTAAAATGTCACCCAAACGCATGTACATCAAAGTCAATTTCCGGAAGTTCCCTGAAATTTGTTATTTCTCCATCACATCAGTGGGAACCTGTTTCAACCCCTTCAATATCCTTTAAATTATTTTATGGAAATAAGTTGCTCAAATTAAAAAAAAAGAAAAAAAAAACCGAAGCAAATTACTCTTAGCGCTTAGCTAAGTGGTATTTCGTCGTCTTAAAGGATAGAGCACTTATTCCAAACACGAGATTTTTTTTATCAAACGCTTTCATTTCTGACTTTAGATGGTCCTCTACATTTTTTTGGCATTATGAATTCTCCTGAGAAGGTTGATAACTTTGTGCAGCTGTCACAGGCATCTGAGGTTCAACCAGAAAGATAACCCACAGAGGTACCATAGATATTGTTTATCCTCCAACCAGACATGTTACTTTCTCACCCATTCTTCGAACTACGAGCAACTCATTTAGTGTGCATCAACTCCCAAAAGCGATTTTTTAATGTTGCAAACGTTACTTTTACGCTGTTTTAAGGCTTTGTTGTGGTATAATATGAGAAAGAAATACTTACAACACGTCCATATGGGCATCAGGCGTGTGATGCGTGCAAGGATAGCCAATATTTTTGTTTGTTCGTTTGGAGGGTTTGTTCAAAGTTTGCGGGGAGGTTTGATATTCAGCTAAGGACAAATCGAACTGCAATCTCTTCTCGAATTTCAAATCTGTTCCCTTGAATTGATCTTTTTATAACTGACAAGCCTCCGGGCATTCTAGGAGTTTTTTTTGTGAACTTCAATCTGCTGTAATTCAAGTCAAGTCAGATTTGCTTGTAAAGTCGATCTTTGAAACCAAGCTGCAATCAGCCCGAAATTCTTCAAACGCTTGTTTTGGGGTTTTTCTCACGTTAATTAATCTCTTAGGGAGCCTATCATCCTATTTATGCTCTGCTCGATGTTTCCGAAAAATGCTCGTACTTTTCCGTATGTTCAAAAATATTAAATCCTTTCCTCAGTGATTACGGTTCATCTTATTTAGTTTATTCCATGACAAAAGGCACGTGCTAAGTCGCGTGATAAGATATGGGTACGTGCCGATTTCCGAGCTCGTGGATCAGACATTGATCACGCTACTTCTAGCACAGGTGGCCCAAGCTCCAGCTGTGATATAATCATCTTGCAAAATAAGAGTCATGGCGAAATTAAGTGTTTGTATGGGAATATTTACGACCGCTCTTAGGAATAAAAAGTACGATGAAATTCTTGATAAAAAAAACCTCACCTTACTTCCACAGTGCATCGCTTGTTATCTGACCGCTTGCCATGTTAAAAGGAACTCATTTTAGCGAGTTATCCATTTCTAGCTTTATTACGTACATTTGAGAAGCCCCCTTGGGCCACCTGTGATTCTAGTCGCTTCATGCTGCAGAAACTATTATTTAGCTCGCGGTAGCAATGAACCAGTCGACTCTAAATATTCAACGTAAATGGACCCTAATTTCAAACGTATCGAACAACATATCACAATAACACGAAATGTTTGATCTTTACTTTTATTACGTTCTTGATGGTTTATTGCACCAGGCAAACTCGACTTGAAACTCCTCTGGTTAATTGACTGCTCAATCTTCTGTCGGCGCCTCAAATGACTGATGTGTTCCGTAAAAAACCAGCATAATGCGTCAAAGATTTGTCGACTATTTTTACTGGCGATAAAAACCAATGTCACAATGACGGGCTCTTCCTCAGTTCAAAGGGTGGACGAACACGTGACGTTCTGTTTCGCGAAGCAGAGCCGAAAGCGCAAGGACTGCAAGAGCGCAAGCAAGAAAACAGAAAATACCACCATTCACCTTTGTTTTAGGCCTTAAAACCATCTTTTCCAACTGATTCTTTAATGAAGGTCTTATGCTAAGTCCTTTCCTATCTCCCTCGTTAACAGAAGGAAAGGCAAAACGCAAGACATCGGTTTCTGGTCACGCCTTATGGACCTTCGACCTTTGGTACGGAGATACATTTCTGCAAAGGTCGATGTTTTCAACAAATTCTTGATTTCTATCATTAAATAATTTTTGTTGTGAGCGAAGATGGTGTTAAAGGAAGTTAATTCCAACACCAACTTGAATTCCATGGTTAACACTGAAGAAAAAAAACAATGATAAAACTATTGGTATTTCATTAATTTTTGCCATTTTCAACAAACTGAAGAGGAAATTGATTTATTCTGTATCTAGCTACACCATCGTGAGTTGTCACTATCAGTCAAACCTTTCAAAAGTTCTTTTTAAGAGTTTTGTTTCAGTACAGCACGTTATGTCTTGTTGTTTCATTATCTTTGCTTTTTCTATATTCTTCTCCAAGTTTCAAAATAACGTTCCCATGCTTCAAATGAATTATGAACTCTATATATTGCATAACACATCATCTGGCCATTTTTTCATCAAATCTTGTAGGCCTTAAGTCGTTTAATGTAACGTCATCTCACCTGTCTGTATTTTGCGCTGCGATAGGAAAACAGTAATTTAACTCCACCCGAGCAATTCCAAGCATGAAAACCAGCCCAGCTCCACAGGACCACCGGATCTTTTCTCTTAACGAATTAAATCTGCTTCTCCACGGAAGATCTGAAAAAGACAGCTCTTTATTGAGGTGTTCAAGTTTGAAAAAGTAACAATTAAAACCCCCTCCCCTTTTCCCCCAAGAAAATACACCATTCACAAAATTGTTCTTTCATATACTTGACAGTAGCATACACTTATCACACAATGATATCAAGTCCTAATTCAATCTGGCACTGTTCTAAGTTTTTAAGTATCAGTAAATTAATGGTACCTGTATAAATCTCGTCAAACTTACAGGCGGTGGTGTTTTGGGAATTCAATGACAGACAATTACAGAATTCGGTATTTACAAAGAGGCGAGAATTATCAAGGCCTTGTTTTTTTTTTTTATCCACCTAAATCTTCGGCTTCAGCAAACCTCAGTCTTTAAAGTTCTCGCTATCGCGTTCAAACTTTCATCCCAAATTCAGATTTTTTAGCTACTTGGACAAATCCCTTGCAAATATCGCGACCTTCATAGGATTGTTAAAGTTTAAGTTTAACTCTAGTCATACTTGTGTCAAGTGTAATCAGATTTCCAGTGTTGACAAATAAGTGTGTTTTGATTCTGTCGCCCAGACCACCCCGTCCTGGTCTGAACGGCAAGGGCGTGTATACGTGAAGTCCTGCTGCCCAGTAAGCATCCGCTCCCAAAGAATCATCTACAAACAAACATACTGTGCATGAAGTTCCTCAAAGGATATAACGAGGCTTAAAACTACACATTAGGCCTGATAAAGTTCGTGTTCCTTTTTTGAATGACAGGCGCTGATGATAGCCAACGGCCGACGATGGATTAGCATCCTACCCAGCGAAGCAATACTCCTGGTGGCTTCGTATTTTGTAAAACGGGATAACCCTACCCTTTTTTCGTACCACATCAGCTTTTGGGAATGTGATTTCATCAAACACACTATTTATCCTTCTTGTGCGATACTTACTTTCACTTCTCGGCCCAATCCCTTTTGAGTTAAATCCTCGTACGGACAGTGGACCTCCAAGGAATAACCTACGTAAAGAAAAAAAATACGTTTGCAGCATACATATTGAGTTCTAAATAATTCACCAATTTGATAATCAACTCAAATGTAACTTCACTTTTGAAAGACTTACTAAAGTAGCAAAAATTAGCCTAGGCTATAATCCGTTGCGCCGTCTATTCTAAAAAGCAAAACAACTCTAACAACAAAACAAACAAATAAACAAAAGCAAGACAACAGGCCCTTCAGTGTAAATAAGCAAGCGACAAGGTTGAGCCATCTTGCCTTCCCTTCTTCCCTTTTCTGCATAACATGATTGATTTAATGAAGGATTTTTCGTCTTGTCACGACCGTGGGACAAAGAAAAAATTCTGAGTCCCCATGAGGAATCGAACCTCAGACCTTCGGATTCCACGCTCCGATGCCCACTGAGCCACAGAGACTCCATGGTGAGCGTGGTCTATTACGAAATTCACATGACACGCGTCCTGCATACCGCTAGGTTCAGCAATGTCGATAGCGTCATGTTTGTAAATAGAATAAGAAAGATGCTAAATGTGGAACTATCTTTCACTATTTCTTTACCGAGCTCAAAATTTACCATCTTTCTTCTTCTATTTACATGATCGATTTAGTCTGCCTCTTTACGAATCACATGAAGAACTTGACAACCACATCGGATCTTCTATTCCAATTTCAGACCGAATATCGTTGGGAAAGAAATTACATATCTGTAATACTGGTCGACCTAATACTTAACTGTTGTCAGAGTAAAGTAAAGCGTTTACTGTCATTATGGACAAATGCCTTGCCGGTAAATTGCATCACAAATCAACCCTACCGATCACTTATTTTTGATGGTGTATTAAACAATGGATGTAGACTTCCTCCTTGAAACGACCAGGATAAAATCTGCCAAGATACAAGTAAACGCAAACTCAAGGACTTGAATGAGTGTCGCAAAAATCAGGGCTGTGCTATAAAACAGCATGGGTTCTCAGGGGAATAATTTGTGTCCTTTTGTAAATTGAGTAAATTTGTGTGTAAGAAAGATTTTAACCCAAAGGGAGTGAGAAATAAGGAACAAAAATTAGTGCACAAATTTTAATCCCTTATAATTAATACTCTACTTGAAGAATTTATCTATTTATCTATGTATCTAGAGACTATATCTATATCTAGATATCTTTTTCTATTTATCTACACTGCCTTATCTATGTATACAATATAAAAACTTCAACAAGCAAAATTAAAACTTCTCTCCCTCTGTAATCCAATAGCAAAGAAAGACAAAATATATACTCACCACATCTTTCAGAGGTTCTACACTTTGTTGATATTCGAAGTTGTGTTTTAAGAACATAACATCTCCACCCAAGCCTGCAAATTCCTTACACAGAGAAAATGGAAAAGAGCATATTTGACTGTCACTGATACTATTTACTTTGCATATAGGCTTGTGATTGAAATCACACAAATTACAATTTTGCTTGGAAGCTACCTCCCTTTAAGCCACCGATGAGTCCTCATATTCTTGATGGTTATAAGGGAGGTTTGTCTGTACCCTAAAAAGCATTGTATATACATGTTTACATTAATTTTATATAGTAACTTTTTTGTAAAATGTACCTGTGCAAGCTTTATGAAGTATCCATTGGTTGGAAGTGCAATATTGTTTCTTTTGTCCATTATTACAGTGTGCTGAAAATGTACCACAGACACATAGTCTAATAAGTAGTTAAAAGTGTATGCAAATCAAGTCTTGTCCTAAATACACCTCTACCAGTTGTAAATGATGAAAAATTTAAATTTGATTTTTCACCTTAAGGGCACTCTTTATTGAATGTCCAGCCTGTTCTCGAATTGCAAAAGAAGCGTTTTTTGCCAGTCCTGTCACTTCACGCCATGTTCCCTCCCAGGAAACACAGTGCTGTCCAACAATGGAGGGAAACTGAAAGAAAAAGTAGATGTTCAGACTACATCTATGTTACGTTTACCTGACAGTTCTGGGTTAAATGCATGTTAACCAAACCCTTATACTCTATTTAACAAATAGATTCTGTGTTCTCATGTGTGTGTTCAGTCATAGATCAAAGATGACATTTAAATGTGGTAAGAACAAAAAAGTGGTACACAGGGTAATGCTGAGTGTATTATTGATGTACAGCATGGATAGACGCACAATTTTAAATGGACTTTCATTGTTTTATATGATAAAAAATAATATAGTTAATGGTGTCTTTCCTCCAATAGATTATTAATAAGGACCAGTCTGATCCATGTATAGTTCAGCTTATTATAAAAATTAAATTTACCATATAATCCATTGACAGTCCCTGTGTTGCCTCCCAGTGAGAACAAAATGGTACATCTGTGGTAGATTTTTGAGCTGCAATTGTAAAACTATCCAATATTGTATTAACAAAGGCTCTCTTTACAATTGAATAAAACAAAATTTTGAGTTATCTTAGAAGTAAACTCACTTTCTCCCTGGTGTTCCTGGCGTAGGCTTAATGAAAGCAAGCTATAATGATATAAAAATTTAAATCAAGATTAAGTTTCAATGGGAACTATATTGCAGTGTAAACCAATATCCATATGGTGGATTCCCACAAGGTGTGGACATTCTATTTAAAAAATAAAGTATTGATTTCTCACACAGAAAATTCAAATCCTATTCCTTTGCCTCTCTTCCCTTTCCAACCCCAAATATAAAAGTATATTGTTAACCACACTTGAGAATTTAAAAACTTTTACAGTTCTTCCTGTCATTCATGGTCAGTTTTTAACAATACAAATTTTTCATTGCACTTTTAATTTGACCCCTTTAATACTAAGGGTGACTAGCATTTAATTTCTCCTACAATATAACCCCTAAATCAAACATGAAGGTTACAGGAACAATGGAAATGATCACCAGATACAGCAGGTTTTAATTTTTAAGCAAATTCTCCTTCTAAGAACCTGAGGAAATGTATAGAGAACAGTATGGAAAATATACAAACCAATGTTAGGGCATTGGAGAATTAAACACTCCTAGTGTTGACAAGCTTCTCACATTTGTATCACCCCTGGATCAAAGGAAGAAACCACCCTAACTATCTTTGGTTAATGTTTATTCAATATGTGAAAGTTTTTTTTGTCTAGGAAGGTACAACTGTAGGATGTTCGGGGCTGATTACAGTGATGCTGGTAGGGGTTATATCCACATGCATCAGACCCAAACAGATTTCATAACAATCCAAATGTATCAAAAAGTTACCTGATAGGACATTCTGGTTCTTGTGCCAAATGAAAGATCTGCCTTAACTTGCTCAGCACGACCAAACACATTATTGAGTGAACAACCAAACATCTGTAAACAAAACAGAGGCTATTGAGTAAAGTTTATGAAAAAATGAAGTTGACTCTACCAGTTACAGAGGACTCACTGTTGAGTGAGCGAGTAACAATAAATAAATAATCATCATCATTATCATCATAAAATAGAAAGTCTAGATTTCTAATTTCTCTTTACAGTATCACTGCTGAACCAAACACAAAAGTCATGAGAATTAAGGAAGAGATCATCACCTTAAGAAGCTCTTGATTGTTTAACAAATTCTATTTATGAGTATTATAGGAAACATAGAGATCAGCACATTTATGGACACGTATATTAGACTGTAAAGAGTTTAGGATTTTAATTAGGGCCAAGTCTACAGTAGATAAGCACTTGAAAAGCATCTACATGAAGACTAGTACAGGCACAAAAGTGGACAAGTAGCTATCCTTAGGCATGTGGAGCATGTATGAAACAGCTCTGTCATACTGTAGTTAGCAAATCTTGTAAAAAATAGCCTCCAGCTTCATGGTTCATCATTTGTGATCTTAGTACACTATCTCCACTCTGTAAAACCCTCAATCCTGATTTCTTTACTGTCATCTCTGAAGCATCTTTTCCATCTTCTCAAACCAATATTATGTGGTTTGCGTTAACCACTAGGTTCTATGAATGTTGACTTTTTTTCCATTACCTGAAGCACTTTGTTTAATAAATATCAAATGGATTATTAACCTACCATATTGCCTTCATTGTTACCAATTTGAGTTCCTGTACTACTGGTAAGGAGTCTTTTTTCTTTTACATGGAATGTCACATCATACCCATTTGGGTTTATTGAGTGATCTACAAATTGACCCATAATCCAAAGTTATTTCCTCAATAATTCTCTATCAGTTAGTTAACCAATATTATGCCTAATCGGGAAATATAAAGGGAAGTGGGACTGAAAAAAGGGACTAAATGTGAGGACAGAGGCACTGAAAAGCTCCACTGCTTCACTCTATACCTGTGCTAGCAATGACTACATGGGCCATTCAGGCTAACTGCAGCTTAGCTTGAATGTAAACACTGATGCAGTTTGAAATTCAAGTTAAAGTTTAAGTTATAGAAAACAGGGGAACTATGCATTACCTCACCAGGGTTACTGGGAATTTACAACTTTCCTGCTGATGGTAGATTATAACTTCTTTATTTAGCTTTACATTGAACATGCTTGCAAAACTGCTTTTCTCTTACCTTACCTGCTCCCTAGAAAGTAAAGAAAGTAATTATTGAACCACTGTGTGATGTGTGATGTAGAATGTGTGATGTGATGTGTGGTGATACTGAGACAGAAGCTATTCAAGGGTTCTCATAGTTATCCACTAAACTTGCAAGCAGTTCTTGGCTTCATTTAAGTCACAGGCATCTCCTTCATAATTGCTTGTCATGGATGAATTTGATTGTGCTCCTTCAGTCCTGCTATTGCTGCTATTTTTGTGTACTCAAGTATGCCACAGTATAACTGGGATTAACAGTCTGGTTGAGACAGTTGAGAAAGTCAAAATTGTAACACTCTTAATTCAAATATTACCTGCACTTGTATCAATGAGCATATCAACATCATGAAACACTCCAAGACTCATCAAATCTTCTTTTGCTTCAAGCGCCAATTCCACTAGCTGCCAAATAATTCAAATCAATTAGCTTCATATCCAATGAGTTTCAGGTCCATTCCTAGCTAAAAAGTAAGGTTGTAAGTAATAAAGACGTAAATGCCTTCAAACAGTCTGAAGTGATTCAAGGAATTTCAAAATGTTGCTTAATTTTCTTGTTCCTGCTTTTTTTAAAATGTTTGGTTCATCAAACACCCACAGCCCCAGAGCTGCTTCATACTAATTTTCTTAAATTACAAAATCCAGTAATCTATAACATTTAACTTACACAAATCCATTTTATGAATTTGAAAAGTTACATCTCAAAGTGAGAAGCTTCTCAAAGTTTTAAGTTGTGTCTGATTGCTTTATAACAAGAAGTATTACTTCACTAAAAGTTGTGGCCTTCAATAATCTCTTGATGCCAGGAATTAAAATGTCTCTCTTGGTTCTCCAGTACCCTTCAATGTTAATCTGCTCCACAGTGGCCTGAAGAAACAAAAATATCATATAGACAAAACAGTTTAACGTATAACAAAGAGACATGCATGACTGTGTCAGACTATTTTTTTTTTTATTATTATTATTTTGTCTTAACATGGTTTTGATCCAATACTTCTTTTGATGGTACTTGTGAATGTAAACAAGTTTAATTTCAGCTTTCCTCACTCAATTTCAACTTCTACACTGTTTGGAATCAGATTATATGCTTTTACACAATGCACAAGCTGAAAGTTTTGCATTTGTCTAATAATGAATAAAATCCATTTTAAACACTTCTAGAAACAAAATCTGCATAACCTTTCTGTCAAACTAACTAGTCTACGGTGCAACTACTGTAACTGGGATAATTAACATAAAATATACAATAATTGCTATCACAGGAAAAATGCAATATCTTCATTCATTAATTTTATCATCTCTGACTGCTTTGGTTGAAGTGGCTCCAATAACAGCTGTTTCATTTTCAGTTAAAATAATTGCAAACTTACAGGTCTTGTAAGAAATTCCTTGGTTGTTTCATTAAGCTGAGAGTTACTGCCATCCTCAGTCGCATCCTTCATAATTTGAAAAATCAACATTGTTTAATACTCAGTACTAAAATTTACACATCTATGAGAAGAGAACTTGTCATCTCCAAATTTAGAATAAGCACAGTTTTTAAAAACACTTCACTGCTCATCACAAAATATCTCTGCCAGTAATAAACCCTTTACACCCCTGAGCCAATAAATAAAATTCCCTCCCTGGTCTCAGTATATCCTCTCATAACAACTACCCTGAAATTTTGTTAAAGACCAAAGAAATTCTCTCAGGTGATCAGTTGCAATCAAAGAGCACTGGTATTGTAAGGAAGTGTCGGTGAGGTAAACAACTTATTTGTTTTGATTTTCCCAAATTTCCATCCCTGGGGATTTGTGGAATGCATGCCAGGGGCTAATTCTATCTCAGACCATTACAATTTTGATCACTGTGACAGGTTTAATTCCACTTTCATTTACCTACTTCACAATAAAAATGTCACTTAATCAAGTATAATTAGCAGACAACAATCATATACCTGCTATTTATAAGGAAGATGCATAGTCATAAATAAACAAAACTGTGGAAGATCAAGTAACAGCCTAAATATATTTGTACTGTAAGGAGTTGGCATTGTAGAATATCTCTTTGGCTTTTAAATTTCAAGTAACAATTTTTCTCTTCCTCTCTCCACGCACAGTGCACATGATTTCACAAATTAGCCAATCACATCAAAGATCTCTAACTTTGGCATTGAAAAATTGATGTGGATATTTTTTACTTACTTTTAGTTTGTTTTTGTGGAGTTTTAGTCAGTTGTTTTTGAGCTTTTGTTCAAGTAAATTTGTTATTCTTTTTGTTTGGAATTCAAGAAGTTTTGGAGTTTTTATTTTAGCCAAATGTTGTAGTCCATTTGACAAGTTTAATACACTACAGAGTTTGGACTCTAACCTCTTTTTTCGTGAATGGATTTTTTACAGGCATAAACATAGTTAATCTCCAGACTGCTTAGTCATGCTGACATGAGCACCGTAGAACTTTCTCGAACAAGTCAACAAGTTACACAGTTATTAGGTAATACTACTTAAATAGTTCTTTTGTAAGCTTCTGGAAGGTTCCAGAACACTTTGCGAATGTATATAAGGACTCAGTTATGTTGTAGTAGTAATAGATGTTGCTGTGACAGACTGTTTAGAAACTATACCGTGAGAGCGAGCTATAGTGGAAGATTGCTAATTTCACGAAACGTTGGAGGAAAGTGTGAGTTTGGGTCAGTGGTGAGCTAAGACATAGACTGTATTGGGCTTAAGCAAGTTCATCGATGATCAGTATCGTACTGCCTTTAGGAGTCGCTCCTTGTTAGGAATATTACTCGTTGTTTAATAAAGTAGTTGAGTTGGCAGGATTGTAGTGTTTTTCTATCGGTTAGATTATACCGTAACATTTATTTTCGAAAAAAAAAAGGCCAAGAGATGTGCAGAGGAGCAAAAGAGATAGTATACTCACCGAGCCCTCGGCAGCCATCTTGAGGGTAAGCCTACAGTATTTTATGGTCAGAGGTAAAAGCTTTTGCACATACGGTGTATTTAATCATACATGTGGTGTCTAACTCGATACTAGTTTCCAGTCCTACATATATGAGATTGGCGAAAGTGAAATTCAGTCTGTGCGAATCTGTTTTGAATTGTTGACAGTACTTTGTTAAGGATATGGCCGGTCGCGAAGAAGATGAAAGAAGATATCCACGCAACTTACAGGGAGTAATGCAGTTTGCTCTTAATCATTCAGATGATCCCACGAATTCATCTTCCAGTGCGTTCCAGGAAATGAGTAAGGAGGTACATGCTTCTAGATTTGAAGTACAAAGCCTCAGATCCTCCCACAGATCACGATCTGAAAAGCAATTCTCCCTTCTAGCTGCTTTGCATTTGATTGCAAATTAGTTAAGAGAATTAAGTGTGATATCAAGGCAATACCCCTAAATGATAAATTCGCCTTTTCTATTCAACTGTTTTCTATTGCACTGGACAGTGTTTTGAGATTGTGAGAAGTGGCAAGTTGACCCTTCAAGATCTGATTGTTAATTCTCCCCTCTGGCTGCAGCGCATTTCCTTGTAAATTATTTACAAGAATTTGGTGTTAGATCAAGATAGAAACTTCTGTCTGATAAGTTTGAGTATACTCATACCTGTTTGTTGGATAATATATGGATATCATTGGGAGAAGTTCCTTTTTTATCACATCTGGGAAATAAAAGGTTAAGCTTGGTTATTACTACAACATACAAGACAAACGTGAAGGGCTGTGAGCTGTATTAAACATAGGCATGAGCACCAGGAAGACCAGAACAGAAGGTTTTTCACTACTTGTGCTTAGGATCATGCATAATTGTTAAGTGAGAATGTGCTGCTACAGGCATAAGTATATACATAGAATGACACCAACCAAGCATTGTATGGATGGTTATATACTTGTGTCTGTGTTGCTCACTCCTCACTGCTGGTTTGTCTATGCTTGTGCTTGTACTTGTCATTATGAGATGGTGACTGGTAGTGTAGTGAGGTAGAGAATTAAGGTGATTTCTCCGTTTTGCACCGCACATCCTGCATTGCACATGAAAATCACGTAATTGGGGAATGGGCTTATGTGCATTTCGAGAACATGGTATTGTTTTTCAATCCATGGACCAAGTAAAGAGGTACGATGGTCTTTAGCTTGTGGACAAGCCCAGTGACCTATATTGTTTATGGCATAATTTTGGTGGAAAATTTATCCCTTTTAAATTAGAAAAAATGTTTAAAAAATTATTTGATGGGATAAAAGATAAAGATAAAAGTGTGCATGAAGCCCATTACTTGAGGATGCAAATTATGACTTTGAAAGAAACGAATCAAGTAACATTTTGAGTCAATGTCATTTAAATTCGTGTGATTTTCCCACAAATTACATATTAAATTGTTCCATACACTTGAAACTTTCTACCTATCAAGTTTTTTTTCAAGTGTTACTGTAAGACCCCTGACTGGTGATTAGTGTCAGTACAGGTATAAATGGGGTAAGTTTGGCTTATTACATCTCTTAAACAAGCATGATGACCTATCTTTTTTATTGTATTTTTAGAAACAGACATTGGTAAGGAACATTTAAGGAAAGTTTAAAAAAATAGTTCCATAATTTTTTTTTCTGAGGAATCACCTTAAGTCAGTTATATTTGGGCCATGAAATTGTGGGTGGCCAAATGAACAGGGTTATAAAAATAGATGAAGACTTGACAGCTGCCATCATATTTGTTGCTATGGATAGATATGCATAGTTGTCCTATGCAATTGTGGTATTGAACACATAATTATGCACTTGCCCGAAAATTAGGCCATCTGATAGGATTAATATGCAAAAATTTCTTTGAAAACCACAAAAATAGTCATACAGACATCCTTCTTTCTGTGCCTTTATCAGTTAGAATCATTGTTTTTGTACTTTTGGTGGAGTCATGTCACTCAATAATTATGTTTTTCCTTTTAGAGAAGAGAATGGCTCCAGGAAGCATTATCATCTATAGCTGAGGACACAGATGTCAAAAGAATGATGAAATATTTACAAATTTTGGAAAAACCTTGTGACACAAATAATGCTGATGATGACCTTGGGGAGAAGGAAGATGCATTTGAGGAATTGTCCATGATTGTTGAAGATTTAGATAATGCAAACGGTATGTACACTCCATAACAAATCAAGTGTTGAGCCATTAACCCCCAACCTATAAATTTGCATTCACTCTGGTAATAGTAATATCCTATATTTAAACATGATAGGGTTTAAAGCTTAAAGCTTGTGGGGTCCTGTAAAAATAATTACAATATGAAACTATATTAAAATAGGGATAACATTACTTACAAAATACAACTACCATGGTAAAAATTAAGAAATATTCTATAAGTTTTGAAAAAGAGAAATATTAAATGAGTTCATGTGTTTACATCTGAATAAATTGACTACAGCAATTATGGTATAGAATATTTAGAAGCATTTAAAATCACAGTAGTGCCTAGGCAGCGACTGGACCAACTGTACACTAAAATCAAGTTCCTTAAAATAAAAGTCCTTCTTTGCTTTACGATAGAAATCTGTAAACTGGCCCGTAAAATGAAACGAGACAGTGTTCCAAAAAGAGTTAAAGAGTGCAGGGATGTCACATGTATGCCTGCACAAGAAACAGAAAAAATGAAGTCAGCTCTATTAGGGAGCTTAATGTAATAACATTGGTTACAATTTGACCAAGCACTAATTTCATTTGGAACTCTTTAAACCTCAAGAGTGACCAGCATCTCATTTCTCCTCACAGTAATTCTGCTGAATTATTCATGAATCATTTAATCCTTAAGAGTGACTAGCATCTAATTTCTCCTCACAGTAATTCTGCTGAATTATTCATGAATCCTTTAATCCCTAAGAGTGACTAGCATCTAATTTCTCCTTACAATATCACTTCAAGTATGTATGCATGTGATTCTAAAGCTCAAACAAACAAACATGAGGTCACACAATACTCAGTAACACCTTCAATAATGATATTCATTTGTAACATGTTTTTGAAACAAGTATACTGAGTATTATTCTCTGTGAGAAAATGTCATGCTACATTTACTATTGTAGAGTATTTAAGTGAGACTCTTAACTTATTGCAAGACTTGGTGACTTGTATTTTTTTTCCATTTTCTTTGAAGGCTTACTTTATTTTAGAAACTCAGATTATTGATTTTTATCACAGATTTTCACAAGATTGGAGGCTATCAGGTGATGATTAAATGCCTCTCAAGTGAACACAGGTACACATGTCTTGTCAAGAAAGCTCTAAAGTTGCAAATAGTAAGATTAATAAAAGTAGCTTACATGTAATAGTAGTATTGCTCACCAGTAAGGCAATTAACTAAATAATGTACAGCTTCTTTATCAGTGTAATTTTACTTTATTAGAGTGTGATCATCTAGTTATGCCAATCCAAAACCTTAGAAGAGCAGCATGTGGTGCAACAATTTTTGATATCAGGGTCAAATAATAGAGAAACTCTGTCTTGACTGTTCCTGTGGAATCCCTTCCTTGTCATGGTAGGATAGTTTACATTTGTCATTGATAGAGACTGTGTCTCATTGACAGTAAGAAGTATGCTGGTGTAAGTCATTCTGCTGGCAGACAAGTCAGAGGGCAGGAGAATGATTAACACCCTGTAATTAAACCCCAAGAATGACTAGCATCTAATTTCTCCTTAAAGCCTACTGCTGAATAATTCATGAGAATTAAGGAAATGTTTGTGGATATGAGAAGCTTTGATTATTAAACAAATTCTCCTTGTCGGTACTAAAGCAAAAGAGAAGACTAGGAAGAATATGGATTTGGATGATTAGGGTGTATAGGGTGAGAACTGATCATCTGGCCCTCTAGGTTAAGTGCAGGGCATAAGGCCAATAATAATACCCTTTGAGTAAAAGGACCCAGTCATTCAGTAATAGAGGAGTCACCTATAGTTGTGTGCTCCCTCACTTTCCACAGACTGCACTTAGTGGGCAGTCAGTAAGAGTAATGACATGAGTTCATACCCAGCCTGAGGCAGCAAAAGAGGAAAAATGTCACCCTCCTCTCCTTCTCCTGTTCTCTGTATAATCATTCTGCTGGTTAGGTACAAGCTAGACCATACTCAAGGATACATGTGCCTGTAATTCAAAACAATGAGACTTATATGTACTATTTATTGTATACTTAAAACATAGCTAACAGTTACTAAAAGTGATTCTATTCTATTAATTTGTAGCTCTTTAAGATGGAGAGCAGCTGACATTTTGGCAGTGTGTGTTCAGAATAATCCATATTGCCAAAAGGCAGCAATGGAAATGAACATCCTTCCAACACTTACTTCTTTGCTTGAAACTGACCAGTTGGATCAAGTGAGAATCAAAGCTTTATATGCAATATCAGGTGAGTATGATGACCCTGTCAGGACTTAAAATGCTTGTTACAATTTTTTTAGTTTTTTTAAATTGAAACTGAATTTAGCAATGGACTGCACTTTCCATAAGTTTACCAGCATAATGACCCACACAGGATGTTGGGAGAACATGCCAAAAGTTTTTAAATCACAGGCCTCCATGGTCTATTGCTTTTATAAGTTAGAATTTTCATTCCAACTTGTCCCCCATATATTTTGCAATGTCTTGTTATGTACTGTGTCAAGGCCTCTAAACAACTGAGATACATGTGCAGCTCAGAGCATTCACCACACTGCACAAACTGTGACACTTCATTTTTACTTCCTGACAATTTTTATTCATGCTAGGTTTAACAAGAGATTTTCCCAAAGCTGAGGAGGCATTTTTAAAAGATGATGGAGTTTCGATGTTATTTCGAACAATGCAAGCAGAAAATGAAAAACTGATAACCAAGTCTGCCTTCATGACAAGGAATTTGCTGATGACAAATCCTACACTTAAAGGTATTGTCAAAATACCTTTGTAAATGCTCATTAGTTCTTGTTTTTATAGATTAAAATTAATGAGCAACTATAGTAGTTTTCTTTCTGATTTTACAGGCCTAATTTGATTTGTGTAGTTGCAGTTGTTATTTTATCTCTGACCAAGTTTTCTAAATTAAGTGAAAATAACTGTGGCTGTTGAGCTGGTGATGTTGCTTTGACCTGATACAACTCTGGTTAGGTTATTTACTTTTTTTAATTACTTTGCCTGCATTCTTTGCAGAAACTCTCTTCAAGATGGGCCTTACTGAGCAGCTTGTTGGATTATTACGAGGTCCTCAGAATTCCTCTCGAGCACATGTAATAAATCTGTTCAAGACCTTTGTGATGGATTATCCACCAGCCATAAATGACTGCCAAAGACCTGAATTTGATTTGGAGAGACTTCTGTCATCTATAATTACATCCAGTATGGAAGATGACCCAGATGCACACGAGGTAACATTGCAATCTTTCGTCACAGAAATGCATAATTGTGTTAAGTCTCAGCTATCAGCAGCCTACACTACTTGGAGTAATATTCTCATGTCCTTTGCTGTTCTACTGTGCTTGATCAACAAAATTATTTTATCGAGAGACTTAGGTTTTATAGACCTAAGAGCAGACAAAGACCACTTGGGTACTTTCTTTTACAAATTCATACTGAGAATGCAGTAATTCAAAGAAGGAATTGATGTTTGCATTAGAGAGTCTGTTTGAGCTTTCCTCATTACTGTTGTATCCTCCTAATGCATATACTATGCCTTGGATTCGTACAGATAAGATTTACACACTGATCGACCATGTGCTTCTTCTTTTATTACCTACTTCATATATGAGTACATGAAGCCTGTCTGCACTCAGTACGTCATGTAATACATGACATCCCTCCTTTTCTTGAAGAAAGAAAACAATAGTCCTTAAGACTTAATCAAAACAAAACATGCGAATCTGAAAATTGGACGGAGAGCTGGTAATAACTAATTCGCTTAATTTCAACACGAGATTCACCGGTTCTAAGCAGTCCTTGTATCAAAACAACATTTAACATTTCGAATCAAAGTTCACTGTTTCAAACGAAGTTCAACATTTTAAAACAAAGTCTTTATATCTCCCAGGGAGTCTCCTCTGTCTCTGAGGTCTTCCACCTTTTGGTGTTGCTGGTGGGCTAGGTACTGTTGCTTGATCAACTGCTGCATTCTTACTAGCAGAGGTTGTACCAGATTTGCTTCCTGCACTTGCTTGTGCTAAAGGTGTGAGATGAGTTAGGGGTCTACTGGGAGGTGTTGTAGGCACTACTGGTGTAGATCCACTCATCACTTGATTTGGTACCACGGTAATTTCAGGTGTTGTCGGTACATCGACACTGACAGGTGGTTCTTCCGGATTGTCAGGGCTCACAAACTTCTTGACATGGGATGTATTCCTTGAATACTGCGTTCCACCTGGAGTTTCCACAACAACACTGTTACCGGTCTTGCTAACCACTTGGAATGGTACTGGATTAAATGGCGTGGAAAACTTGTCTCTTTTCTCTTGCCTCACCAGGACTTGATCACCAACTTGAACTTCTGATGGTTTTGCATTCATGGATTTATCAGCTATTACTTTGGTCTTTGCTTTCACTTCGGCATCTCTATCTCGAGTTTCCAGGTCCAAGTGATGGTCGGCACGTAGCTCTGGTAGCTTTCCTCTCATCTTTCTGTTAAACAATAATTCCGCAGGGCTCTTACCGGTTGTCGCGTGATCAATACCTCGGTATTTAGTCACATATCTTCTTAGCTCCTTCACCCAGTCTAATCCTTCGGCTTGGGCAATGCGGATCCTCTTCATCAGCGATGCATTTTGTCTCTCTACCTCCCCGTTGGCTTGAGGCCATTTTGGTGTGGTCTTGGTGTGAACAATTCCATTCTGCTTACAATATTCCCGGAATTCTTCGGAGCGGAATTGTGGACCATTGTCTGACTTTATGGTCAGAGGAAGGCCATGGCGGCTGAAAATCTCTTCCAGGTTGTCAATTACTTTCTCTGTGACGGTTGACATCATGATGGCGTACTCATAATAACGACTGTAGTAGTCCACAACAACAATGATTGAGTGTCCCGAAGGAAGTGGTCCTAGGAGGTCTATAGCTAGGTCTTGCCAAGGACCTTCTGGTAATGTCGTGGATCTCAATGGCTCAGGTGGGTCTGGGCGAGATACCAGTTGACATCCGTGACAGGACTTGCAGAATTTCTCTGCTGCCTTATCCATACGAGGCCACCACACCTTACTTCTTAAATTTTGCTTTGTTCCCACAATTCCTAGGTGTCCTTCATGGGCTAAGCTGATTGCCTGAGCTCTGAGTTTGTTTGGTAACACAATACGGGTACCTCTCAAGACTAGCTGTCCAATCACACACAGTTCTCCTGCGGCTGGTGCATAGTTTTTGCACTTCTCAAATCTGCCAGTTTTGATTGCTTCTCTCAGGACTTTTAATTCTTCATCTGTTGCAGATGCTTCTTCGACTTCTCTCGTGGTTAATGCTTGGGGAGTGGCACTGATAGCTGCGAATCGGATGTACTCTTCTGCCCCATGTGGATGACTCGTCACTTTGTCTTGCTTAAGCAGGCGGGAAAGAGGATCAGCTATATTATTCTGCCCTGGAGTATATACAATTCGGAAGTCGTAGGGTTGTAACCGTATTGTCCACCGTTCGATGCGGGCACAGGGCTTGGAACGTGGCCCGTAGATGACCTCCAACGGTTTGTGGTCAGTTACCAGATCAAATTTCATGCCATAAATGTATGCATGATACCTCTCACATGCCCAAACGAGAGCGAGGGCTTCCTTTTCGGTCTGGGAGTACTTGCGCTCACACTCTGTCAAGCTGCGGCTTGCATAGCAAATTGGCACCCATGCTTCATTTTGGTTCTGTAGTAACACAGCTCCGAGGCCGACTGGACTGGCATCAGCTATTACTTTGGTTGCTGCGCCTTTGTTAAAATATGCAAGTGTTCCTGCGTCAGCCATGCTCTGTTTCAGAATCTTAAAAGCGGTTTTCTGCTCAGGTCCAAAGTGGAATGGAACAGCCTTTCTGGTCAAGCTCCTTAGTGGCTCAGTGATAGTAGCGAAGTGAGGAATAAACCTGCTGCTATAATTGGCCAATCCCAGGAAGCTTCTTACTTCGCTGACGGTGGCAGGTTCCCTTGTTTCTTGCAAGGCTCTGATTCTTTCTTCTGTTGGGCCAATCCCTTTTTCAGAGAGAAGAATTCCCATGAAAATCACTCTGTCCACATTGAATAGGCATTTGTCAGCATTGAGAGTTAAGCCATGCTGCTTGAGGCGTTCCATTGTCTTATATAGGCGTTGGTCATGAGTTGCCTGATCCGGGCCATGTACTATGATGTCGTCAGATATATTATCGACTCCTTCTATTCCAGCTAAAGCTGTGGATATCTCATGTTGGTACTGCTCACTCGCTGAACACACGCCAAATAATAGACGTTTGTACCTGTACAAGCCTTTGTGCGTCACAAAGGTGGTGATCTGTCGTGACTCTGAATTAAGTTCCAATTGGTGGTATCCCCACTTTAAGTCTAACTTGCTAAAGACTTTGGAACCATTCATATTGTGTAGCAGTTCATCTACAGTTGGTATTGGGTATCTGCCACGTACTATGGCCTTGTTCGCTTGTCTCATATCGATGCAGAGTCGTATGTCACCATCTGCCTTTGGTATGATCACTACTGGATTTACCCATGGTGTAGGCCCGTCTACTTCCTCTATAATATCACAATTCAACAACTCTTGAACCTTCTTTTCTACCTTCTCTTGCAGATTGAAAGGAATTCGCCTCAGGGGTTGGGCTACTGGTTTCACTGTTTCGTCTATGTGCAATGTTACTTGCTTGGACTTCAACTTTCCTATCCCACTAAACACTTCAGGGAATTTTTGCTGCAGCGTCTGTTTGCCTTCAGCAATTGTGGCAATGTCAACACCTATTTTCAGCACCCCCAACCTCATTGCGGTGTCTTTGCTTAAGAGTGGTATTCCCTTTCCTTTGATAACCAGGAATTCGGTCTGGACTCTTCCTCTGCCCACTAGTACCTCACATGTGAAGCTACCTTTTACTGGGAGGGGTTTGCTGGATGCATAAGCGTACAATTTTCTGTCAACGGGAGCTGCTTGTGATTTACACTTGATCTTTTTAGCCTTCAGATCTTCCCATGTACATTCATCGATAATGTTATTGGTGGCCCCAGAATCCACCAACATTTCCAATTCTACTCCACCCACAGACAATTTGAGCATATTTGACTGACCTTTATTGGTGACCCTGAATGCATAATCGACTTGCTCCCCATCGGGTTTTTGTTCTTCTTGCACCTGATTGACTCCTGGCTTCTTTGGTTTGGTTTTGCAGACACTAGCAAAGTGACCTTTCTTTTTACATTTTTTACATGTTTGACCTCTGGCAGGGCATTTCGGATCTCCACCAAGGTGACCACTCCACCCACAACGAGGACACTGACTGTCTCTGTTCTTGCTCTCTTTGTTTCTTTGTTGATCTTTTGGTCTCCTAGGTTTTTCATAGACCCTGTGTGCTTCTGTAGTCTGTTCACTCAAGCTAAGCTGAGACATTTGGTGTTCTACACGTTCACACTGTTCTGCAAGCTCTAATGTGCGTGCGAGAGTAAGTTCATCTCTTTCTTCAAGCAATTTACGTTTGACATAATCTGACCTGCATTTGCATAAAATCGCATCTCTTATCTGATTGTCAAAGTCTGCCCCAAAATTACAGTCTTTCCCTTCTTTTCTCAGTCGGGTTACAAACTGCAAAACGGTCTCACCTGGCTGTTGTTGGAGTCGGTGAAATTTTTGACGCGCAAAAGCGGAGTTAACTTTGGGGAGAAAATAGCCATTCAGTGCTGTTACAGCGGCGGCGTAGTCCGTTGCTTCGCCGGTGTTCGCGAGAGTAGAGAAAATTTCTTGCACATCTTGTCCCGCTAAATGGAGTAGCATAGCTCTTCTTCGTTGTCTGGTTGTTGCATTTGTACCTTCAGTGATAATCAGACCTTTGCCATCGGCAAACAATTCAAAAGATGTGAACCATCGCGTCCAGCGTGGTCCTAACATGGCAGGTTCCGAGTGACAATCGAACTTAGGAATCCCTTTGGAAGCGCCATTTTCGCTCAAAGACATCTTGTGTCTCACCGAATTATCCTCGTCGCCAATGTTGTATCCTCCTAATGCATATACTATGCCTTGGATTCGTACAGATAAGATTTACACACTGATCGACCATGTGCTTCTTCTTTTATTACCTACTTCATATATGAGTACATGAAGCCTGTCTGCACTCAGTACGTCATGTAATACATGACAATTACCTTTTGTCTGAAAACAAAAGTATCATGCATGTCTCATGTCCCACGTGACCATCATCATCTCATGACAAGCGGGTGGCTAATTTCAATAATCTGACTAGAACAACCCCCAAGTGAATTTTTAACAGTCCCCCATCAGTATCAATTTTACTTTGTATACATGATGCATTCTGTGGAACATTTGTCTAAAGATTCTCAAGCACAGTTATTTACTAACCCTGTAAAATATCATTTCAATGAAACAAATTAGTGATGAAATTTTATATGTAACCAATAAAAGTAATGGAAGTGATTGTCATCAAATAAAATTTGTTTTTCTTTTTTTTTTTTCTAGGATATGATCCTTAATTGCAAGGAATTGCTGAATATTTGCTTCAAAAAATAGAAACATTCTCAGCCCAGCTCTGGAAGTAATTTAAGATGGTTTACTGTAAAATAAACTAAGTTCCAATCCGCACTCCTCTCAAATTTGTTTTTGTTAATTAGCTCTCATGTTTTAATAAGTAACTCCTAAGTAAACACTTTCATTCCAGTAAGTGCCCTGTACCATTAAGCACCCCTTATTCCACTAAGCATCAATAGAAGTGCCCCTATTCTGTTGTGTGTGGCATTTTTGTAGTTTTCCCTGTATTTGAATTAAGTTATTAAATTGAATAAAGTAGTCAAATTAGCATTGTTCTACAAATTAGGTTGTTTTTGTGACAGTAGATTTGAGATGTGGAATGAAATAGCAATGCACAAATAATTGTTGGTGGAAAATGTCAACTGTTTATGTGATGTAGGCCTGATTAACAACAACTGATCACATGCCCAGATTCAACTCTGCAAATAAATTCATTAAGTATATATGACACAAGTGAATAGTCCTTTTTGGACTCACAGATTGGCTGGTTCCAAAGTGAATAGCAAGTACTATTCACCTCTGGGTAACTGAAGAAACAAAACCATGTGTCAAGAGTTTAATTTCCAACCTTTTGCAGTATACTGAGAGAAATAAACTAATTTTTTTGGCATGTGTGGTATATACTGTAATGAAGGCTATTTTTAGTTGTGATTTACATAACTTTCAATACCCTTTTGTTTTGTGGACATACTTTCAAATTGTCGTCATCATGTTTCATTCGGCCACAAGACACGTCTTAGTTGCAAGCAAGATTGAAGGATTGTCAAAATACTAGAATGATAGAACGAGGAAAGAGGTATGTCATCTTGTTTATTTTTGTATTTATAAACCAAAACGTGTATAATCAAAGGTAGTATTGTTTCACTTGGGATATTTGTGTTGTTTGATTGATCTATACACACCATGTGTGTTTGAGTGTTAGGACATTTCAATTAGCGTGTATCATATGGTTATGGCCTATTCTAATTCATTTTATTTCAGTTTCAAGAAACCAGTTGAGATTTGATAGATGCTTGAAGGTTCGCGTTGTTCAAGTTACATTTGATTTATGTCAGCATCATGTCAGTGCTGGTGAAAGTGGTGGATATTTACTTTGCTGATTTATGGCTCACTAAACATCCACCACTATTCAACTTTACTTTGGTGAATTATTGTTAAATATTCACATCACAAATTTAACTGTGATGACCATCACGATGAATTGTCACGCAAGACAAGATTAAGAGGAAGCTGTTGCGTGACAACCCCAAAGAAATCAAGAATTTCTAGTCTCAATCTTCAGTCCACATTTAAAGTCTACTTTAAACAAAATTTTTCGATGATCTCTTTATGCTGTGGGAACATTTCAATCATCTTGTCGCTATCGCCAATTTCTAAGTCCTCATAGTCAAAGCCTGGGCCAGCTGCCTCACTGAACACGCATAAGCCACTCTTGTCTTCAAGCTCTAAAGCAAACCACACGTTCTTTGGCACATGACAGTGAAATCTGGCTTTATTATCCCTCAGTGGGTCCCCAATAATTTTGGTCTCGTATCTGCCATCCTCATGTATCATGTGTAAGATGATATGGCTGCCCAAGTGATGGAAATATGTCTCCCCTGACTTCATTTTGTGCCACGCGTTTATGTCTGATCCCCTTAGGAGAAGATAAATTACTGAATACGCATCCCTTACTTGGCGCCCAGAGCTATCTAGGGGTTGAACTTTAGTTGTTGCATTTAGGGATTCCACGTAATAACCTCCTAATGGAAGAGGTTTAAGGTTCAGAGCGTTAATGTACTCGTCCGCCATTGCTAAGTCTAGTTTTATGCTTCGTATGATTATGAGTGTAGTGTCCTTCTCCTCAATCTACTTTGTGTAGCGTGCGCGATGTGTATTATAAACTATAGCGCACAATCTTAAACTCAGCATCAAGTTGAAAGAGTCGTCCGGTTGGATCTTCGCTCTCGTTCAGGTCTCACTCACACTAAAGAAAGAAGTCCTTCTAACAACAGAGTGAGGATTTTCTCGCAAGAAACAAAAAGAATTTGAGTGGGGTACTTTATAATACCATTTCATGACCGGTCTACACTTTTGAAAAAAATGGAAGACGAGGATGTAGTTTTGGAAAACTCACCCTTGCAAAAATACCTCAACGAAATCGGTTATGTTGACTTTGAAGACACGAATGGTCGGAAAAGGCAAGAAGAGTTTGAAAAGAGCAACCATGGTTCCGTTTGGACCTACAAAGATTGTCTCGTTGAGTTTTCACAGACCGTAATTGAGCTTGCTCGGTATATTTACAGCTCGTCTTTGTCGTGGTTTGTTTTAGTACCTTCAGTGAATGATATTGAAACTTTCAGGAATGACTACATCGTGACTGTGTATGAATCACAAACACTGAAGAAGGATGACATCAGTTTTTTATCCCAGTTTGATCCGAAACTATTCGTTAGTGCTAAAGCGGAAATGGCAAGTGGTTTTGGCGAATGGAAATCTTTTGCTCATGGAAACTATATTTTATCTTTAATTTTGCTGGTTATTTCTCTGCTTCTGGTAAAGATTGACGGTCTTCTCTTTCCTTCTGTTTTGGCATTTTTGGTGATACTCTTTGCGTCCTCTGCTAGAGTTTTACTGCGATATTTCTTCATTCATCGTCATCAGACAAATTTAGTTGCACTGAAACGGTTTGCACAGCAGACAAAACAACTGACTCTCCTGGTGAAAAGATCTATAAAATTCATTCAAGAAATAGAACTAACATCAAAAGGTTATACCATGGTAGGCCCAATGATGCCTGCATTTTTCTCAGGAGACAGTGAAAACTTGGCAGAATCAGTGATATTTCCAACATTAAGAAAAAACATTATGGAAAATACTGAGCCTGTGTTGTTGTCTATACAGAATTCTGCTAAGGAGCTACTCTTTCATTTTCCTCTCCCACCAGAACTTACTAAGATATTTACATACTTTTCAACAGGATCCATTGGAAATCTGCATGTAGGAATCAAGGAAATTGTGCCAGATGACTCAACTGAAAAAGTGTCATTGCAGGGCTTAAAAAATGTGGCTTCATTACTTTCAAGCCTGCAGTCAGAATTTCTTAGTAGATTCTTGCTTTGTTTATCACTTGAAGTAAATGATGGTAACTTGAATCAATTATACATCAAACTCTTTAAAAATATAGAGAAGATATTTGGAATTTCATTGAAAATGATAGAATGTTCTGTAGTATCAATTGAGAGATGTTATCATGTACATGAAAGTTACTGTTTCATGAGCAAAGAGTGTGAAAAGCCTCCTGTGAAGCCTTGTGTCGATCAGACAGCAAGGGCTCTTGATATAACTCTTCGTAGCATTCAACGGCACCTTCAGGTGGGAATTTTGAGAGTAGAGTCCATTCAAAAGGAAAGATGCCAATTGTTAGGGCCTAAAGGAGATCATGACTCTAAAGCCAAGAATTCACTCCCTTTGAATTTAGAGACAGCATTTAAGTGGATAAAAAGTGATCTTGAGTCTGCATTAACCTGTTGGCAGGAGGGTGAGGAACTCTTCAACAAACTTCTAGGTAAAGAACCTACTGCAAATCAGAACAAAGTTTCTTGTGACACCAAGAGTGATGAAATATTGGAAGAATCACAGAATCTTTACACACTGGACCTGACAGAGGATGTTGAAGAGGGTGATAAGGTATATGAGGCCTTTTCTGATCCATATGAAGAAGTTGTGATTGACCAAAAGGCTCTAAATGTTGAGGATGTTGAAAAAGAGCAGAGAGAAGCAAGGGAAAACAAGCGACTGTTACAAGAACTGAAGACTGTTTTGCTTTCAAAGGCAAAGGATCCACTCATTGGCACTGCAGGATTTGTCCAACCTGCAGTGAAACAACCTACCCATAATCTCCTCAATGTATCAAACACAGATAGTAAAACATGGCCTCATGGTGGCCAAGGTGGACTTACAACACTGAAAGAAGACGAAACAAAAATCTGTTTCAATCTCAGGGACTCCTGTCATCAAAAGTGGCTGTCCTCAAATGAGGCACACAGTCAGGTGTCTTGTATACATGCAAACGAGCATCCCGTTAGACCCCCTTCGCTGTTGGGAACTTTCCCGTCTTCAGTGGCTGTTTCAGTTGCTGCTGCAGCAGCTGCACACAGTAGGGCTATGGGATTGAATGAGGAATCCTTTTTTAGTGATGACACAGACTGAAAAACCTTCCAATCAGAGAAATTGACATCTAGACCACTGTGATACCTGTTGTTTAGGAGAGTTTAGCTCTGGCTAGGAAGAATTTTATTTGTTCTCCACCCCTCAATATTTTTTTTGTTAAATTATGATACTTAACTGCATTTGAAATTCCAGAAAGTAACCTAACTATTTCAAAGTTGTCTTCAAATGAACTGGTGGCTATTTGTGAGATATTCAATTCTCATTCCATTATTTCCCATTTCTTGGAGATCTTTTTGGACAATAAAGAGCTGTGTAAAATTTGTAATCTTATGTTGAGTATTGATTTTTGGTTTGTTAGTTAGCCCAACAGCTGTTTGTGAAGCACACTTTGTGTTTGAGGCCATCTGATTTGTGCGCAGCTAAGTTACTGAGTTGTGAAATAGTGAAATAGTGCATCCATAGTCCGATTAAGAGCATATTTGAAAAAAATCATCAAACATTCTTTATGAGTGGAGATAAAAATTGTATGGTTTCTGAGACAGATATCTCCCTCTCCTCTGAGAGGACCCCAACAGGACACTTACCAAAGTCCACTTGACAATGGTATTGTACAAAGTTATACTGACTTAGTGTAGAGAAAATGAGGAAGCAAAATTGGGTCAAAGTAAGGCTTGTGGTAATTATATATATGGGGTGCACTCAATACAAGTTCCATTATACCTCTATTACTAAATATGTCTGAAGGGCCTTGATGTGTTGTGTTTGTACAGGCTAATGTGTCCTTTCATGCTCTTATATGTAATAAATGAAATAAGTATCCTTTTGTGTAGGCAACCCCTACCTCCTCATTTTTATTAGAGGAAGGGTTGAAGAGGGAAGAAAACAATCTTTCATTGTCATTTTACAATTATGCAAACTTCAGTTGCTTTTGTATTATTTCTTTCAATTACTTCTCTCCATGTGCTTTCACTGAAAATTTAAATTAATGTCCCATAATGATTTTGCCCAAACAAAGTGCCTGTTCAGTGGAAGAAAAAAAATCCAATAAACACCCCCAGAACAACGAGCTCTCCGTCCAGCAAACGCTCTCCTCTTTTGCTCACCTTTTGAGCGCTGAGGACACTTTTTGAAGAAAAAAGGAGGAATTCGTGCTGCGACTAATTTTCACGCGTTAGACGCGCGCACGTTGACGCCCTCAAATGGCTGACTTTCTGGCTGGAGGCTCACTAGTGATAAAAATCGAGATTTTCTCTTAACCAAACTCTGTAACCCCTCTTAATTATTTTGGTCAGAACTGTATCTTTATAGAGCAGAAAAACTATTTCAGCACATATCGATGGCCAAGTTTGTGGAAATTTGATCATAAGAACGGATAAGCCCTGGCACATCTAACAAAATCATGCCGAACTCGGAGATCAATGACAAGTCCTATTTCAACGTAGACACAAGGGAAACAAACTTCGTTGCTAATTTCTCTCTTGGATTCTCGTCTTCAGGGCAGATCGTTTCTCCTGGTCGGCTGGGCTTGATGGCAATATTGTTTGATAAATATGACAGGCGATGGGCTCAAATGAGCCCATTGTTTCAGTAATTTGTACTTTCAATGAACATTTACACAAAAATGATTCCTGAATTGAACAGATTAGCAGATGGCGATCTTTGAAAAAGTCGAAGAATATGCTGGATGCTACCAGTCATGCTAATGTCATGTTCATTGCCGTCCAGTGAAATGGAGGTAGTTTGCCCTCTTTTAACTAGGAGCTAGCACTCCAGTTAAAAGTATGAAATAGCTTTCATGTTCCCTTCTTTTTGTCTCTCAATGTAATGACTCAGAGAGAAAAGATGCTTCGAAACATGGGGTAAATTTAATAGCTGCTCCACTTAGAAAACTATGAAATGGCTGCAATTTCCACCTGATGCATGGCTAGGAGATGCGATAAGCCACAGAAGTCTTTCTGGTGTTGCGGCCTAGTCAAGTTCAGTACCAGTACTTCATTAGAGAGCATCGTATTCAAAAATGGTATCCGATCAAGTCGCCCACATACCAGTTTGCCCACGTCAACTCGCCCGTGCATAAAATCACTCCAATTAGCTCGTTATAGAATAAATCTTGTTTTAAGTAAAAGATTGATGTTTTTTGGAATGATAATAAAGTGACTGAAGTTTCAACAACGATTCGTTAACTTTACGCCGTTGCGAGTTGGCGTGGGCAAGTTGATTCGTGGGCGACTTGACTGTAATTCAAACAGCTGTAGAGGAACCTGGCACTCATAACCTCAGAAGAATTCCCGCGCTAGACATGTTGGCAGGTGTTACGAATTTTTCTAAAATAATTCAAATAGTACGCGCGCTCTGATTGGCCATAAAACCATTTTACATGAGTGTATGTAAACACGGTTTTCGTTCCTCTTTCATAAGTTATTTTATAAAAGAAATGTAAAATGGTTTTTCGTGTTTACATAGCCTGATGTAAACACTTGGGAGGTTGGGAGAACACTCGATAAGCTGGAAACCACTCCGCTTCGCGTCGTGGTTTCCTACGCTTATCTCGTGTTCTCCCAACCTCCCGCGTGTTTACATCAGGCTATGTAAACACGGAAACCATTTTACATTTCTTCAGCAACAACAGTGAAATGGAACTCTGCAGAGCGAGTTATTGATATTTGTACCAACGTATAGGTCATTTGCTAGATAAGTATTCCTGATGATAAATTTAATGAAAGAAACCGTGGGATAAAAGTGGAATTTTTCTCGCCACCCAGCACATGTACCTCAGGGACTTTTGAGGAATTTTCTTGCCACCCAAACTACATAATGTTGTTTACAACAAAGCAATTGAAAAGTTTCACATATTCTTTATATGGTCTTTGCCCCAAAACAATAAGCATGTTGCCCTAGAAAGAAGCCTTTGGTTAAATTTGTTGTGCAAGATGAAACTGTTGCCAGAGCAAGACCTACGTTGAACAGTATCGATAGTCTTAGGCATGAAAAAAGTAAACTAAATACCCCCGTAATACTCGGCGTATCACAATTAACTGCGACCCACGGTCTCGTTCGTTGTCAGGTCAACACACTGGTATATCACTCCTCGAGATTAAATTCCATTATATTAACCCAGTTGAGCCCTTCTTTAACTATTTTCCACATTTTGAAGACTAACATTTACACCCAAAAGGTTCCCGATATATATTCTAAATCGAATGCCCTGTTTTTAACTTCCGATAAAAATTCAGTTTTGACATTATTGAAATTAGAAGCGCAATAACGATAAAGTAAACGTGAGAGAGTATGGGGGTTTTGATAACGGGATGAGATGCGAGCCGCCCTTCCTTTTCGAATCCGTTGCGCGAGTCAAAAATATTCCACGCGGCGCGCTAACATCAACTTTTTTCACTCATTTTTTTTAATTCGAGCAGCGAATTTGGCGGAAAAGAGGGGAATTTTCGTAGTCTAATAATGGGATTCCGCTGAGAAATATCCCCTCCTCAGCTATTGTTGCTTGATCTTGACATACACCCAGTTAATACTTGACCAAGTGAGACTATCCTCATTTCATCTCATTATGCCCCCCTCTAGATATAACAGGCGGGTCTTCTGCGGGCAAGTCGTAAACACAAAAACATCCTCCCTCCATCTACTTGTTTTGTTATTTTTCGTCCTGGTGCCTGTTAGTGCAACCTTAGATCAACGTTTTCTTAAATTATTTGATACCCATAGCAAAATTCTTTATTCACGAATGCAAATAGTGAAAGATAAAAATCCAATATTATCAAGTTAACTAGTCAAAGTTAACACAATCTACAAAAAAGAACGACAGCTTAATTAGCTTTTCCGACGTTTTAATACCCTACTGTTAATCTGCCTGGTTAATTACGGCAAAGAGTTGAAAAATGTATATTTTGTTAGATCTCTCGGATCGTAACTTTTAACCTCACTAATGTTTCTAGACTCATCTCACTAATCCCACTCTAATTCCACTTTGCCTTTTTTTTATGATAATGATGATAGAGGCCTGGGTACCTGATCCGCTCCACTTCCAAGGGTAACTGCATCACGCGGTCAAGAAGGTCCCAGTCTTCCCCACCCCAATTGTACTTGTATTCCTGAGCATTCATCCCTAGCAAAGACAATGAAGAAATTCCTCACAGAAATTACACTACAACGTTCGGAGACGTTCCTCTACGTCATAAAAAACGGACGATACACATTGTTAAATTATAAAAGACCAAAATGGAAAAAGTAGAGCGATTTTCAACGCGTCTAAGAGTTCCAGGATTCCGAGACTGCTTTGCTTTCACTGATTTTCGATATGTGATTGGTTTGAAAAGCTCGCGCAATCCTCAATGTGTTCTGAACTAACTTGGATTACAAAGCCGACTGAAAATGACAACTTTTCGTAGACTTCAGGCTAACACTTGAAATTGACTCTTGCCATGAGCTTCGACCTTCTTTCTCAGACATGGAATATGTTGACCACATCTTTAGTCATAGAGGTTTTATGACAAATTGATCTCCAATTTCGGTCCATTCAGAAGGCAAAATATCAATTGTTATGAAGAACAGGAGTTTTTAAATTAACTGAACAGATTAGGAAGACTTGAGGATTTCTTTTCTTTGCACTTCACAACACTGCGCACGCTTCAACTGGACGGCATTCAACAGCTCACAAAGAATAAAAGGAATCTTTCAGCAGATACCCCCAAGAACAAGGCCAAACCATCGCATTCCAGTCTTTGAGATAACCTAATGGGTTATTTATCGTCTCCTCATTCATTTTACAAGATGGTGCCCACGACCGCTAGGTGTTGGAGCGGTCTGGAGCTCGAACCCACTCCCCTCTACATGGAAACACAGTGCTCTACCGACTAAAATAATAAACCGCCGGCACTTTCAATTATTTTAAAAAGAGGTATGATATTAATTGAACTCACCCCCAAATCTCTCCCAATCAGATTTATACATTGACGCGATTCCAAACCCGTTCCATTGCCAAAATCCTTGATGTTCTTCAGAAGTACTGCCACAATTCAGTCGGCCAACGATTGGAAAATAAGCCAATCGACCAGCAATGGTGTTCTACAAATACAAATAACATCCTACATTCTCGAAACTTTTAGTACAATAGCGAAGTTTTGAGGAATACACAATGTTACAAGCAAACGCGAACACCTGAATGATTTGTACTTCTGGCTCATGTGATTAAAAATTTGTTTTCTTACATGGAGACGTCAAAGTTTAATCGGGTTGGTATTGAGAACTATTGCAGATTCTTAAATTTCCAGATATCACGCTATTAGACAGTCACAAGCAAAAATAGTCAACAGCCTCTATTGTTGTGTTTAGTATCCTTCAAATATTTTTGCAACGCGCAGGAAAAATGTTTACGAACAGCTTACTGTTTGCTGCGTGGGATGTTTACTTTTCATAGTTCTGTGGAACGACTTCATGAACAAACAAACATGTTCCATATTCTCTAACATTGCGGGCTAAACGCTCCCTCATCTTGAATCAAACTTTAAGCAAACGCTTTCATCTTAGTTGAAGTAAGGTTTGAAAATGTGAAATATCACTTGAGGTATATTTAACAATTATTGGCTGAAGATGAAGTGAATATTGTTGAATAATTCACTGAGCCTGAGGCGAATAATTTTTTCAGTGAAATTGCTCAGGTGCTTTCGAATTCTGTCGTAAAGTAACGACGTTTTAATTCAGAGTTTGAGGGAGAATACTAAAAGAAAAACACTCAACAAAGGAAAAACAACTGGCTAAAAGTCTGACTTCCAAAAACGGATATGAAGGTATGAACCGGAGGCCCTGAATAAAATTCTGGAGGAGTCTTACGCGACAGTTCGTACGAAAGACGAGGAAGGTCACAAGCGCGATAGCTTTTGTGTGATGGTTACTGCTGTCAACTGATACCTTACAGAGAAAGAAAACAAACGTTCACTTATTCTCGAGAGAGGTTTTACAAGTTTGAAGCAAATTCTTGTGGAAAAAGTCCTACTACTCGAGCAAAAAATGCTAAGGCAAGCGGCCGAACTGGTGAGCCATGACACGAAATAAAGACAGAAAAAAAAGGGAAACAGAGTCATATTTTTGATTGTATATTATAAAGTAGTAATCATATGATTTTTCTCGAGCAATTTGGGATAAATCAGCATAGGTAAATTTTTCAAAGGATGATAAAATTGCACCAGCCCGTAGAGCCCGTAGAGCCCGTAGGGTGAGTACAGTTTGGTTGGCCTGTGAAAAACTTACTAGTGCTGATTTATCCCAAATATTCGAAAATATCCTTACTCACCGATAGAAACAAAAGCAAGAAAGTACTTACCATTCGAACATGGTCCAAAAGATCCACGGGCATGTCAATATGCAAGTCAAACAGAAAAATTATATCGTTTGGGTTGGAAACAAGCTGACAGGCTACGTTTAGGGCCAGCGTCTTGTAGAATTTACCCCTTAGTGTAACAATACTATGCCTGCTGTGAAGTAGAGGTGTTTGGAAAGCCTTGGCTATATCAATATCTTTACTTTCAAAATCAGCAACAACGACGTGAAAGTTATTGTCACCAGTTGCCAAGCTAGCATAAGTTAGTTGTTCAATAAAATAGTGCACCCAGTTTCCTTGTTCCTTGACAGGTAGAACGATATAGATCTTGGCGCTTTTATTCCAGTTCAATCCATCTGGAAGGCACAAATTGTGATTTCCTTTCGGTTGGTAAATGTGCTCCGACAGCCTAAATGTTTGACTGGTGTTCTTTGAGCCAAGTTCAAGGTTTAATAAGAAGCGATCGCCTTTTTTTTCGTCTGGCTTTTGAGTCACTTTGTGTATTTTCTTCAAAAAGTATTTTCTGAAAAAATAAAGAAACAACAGCAATTAGAACCTTAGCTGTAAATTCTTACGCATATTACACACTTAATTTCAACTCGAACTAAAGAACTAAAAAGTAAGCAATAACCTAGTTCATAGCAAAGTTACGGCATAATATTCTGGAAAGTTTTAAAACGAAAATGACTTAATCAACGACTAGTAGATAAAAAGGGGGATTCTGACACATTTTGAAAACAACCTTGATTACAAGGCAACCCATGAATTTTAACCTTGATTTCAAGTCAACCTTGAAATCAATTTTAATTTTCAAAAATACAGCTTTTGCACATTTTCAAATCAACCTTGATTCAGTTAAGGCGACTTGAATTTTTCACAGGTGAATAACATTCACAATGTCTCATTCGTGAGTTCTGAAGAGGGGTGTGGATATTAAACGATTCTCTTTAACGGTTCTCTTGAACGATTCTCTTAAACGGTTCTCCTGAACGATTCTCTTAAATGATTCTCCTGTCACACCATCGGGGTGTTGATTGTTTGTGTGAAGATTTTCAAATATCAATGTTGTATCTTCTCGCAAAGAAGTCGTGGTGTCGTCTTTGTAAATGAGAAGAGTATGACACCTAATTCATCAGGATTGCGTAGCCGAAGGCCCACCTCGAAGGGTTTGGGCCTATTGAAAAATTCATTTTAGATAGTTTTTTCCAAATCAAAGAATTCCTTAGGGAAGCAACTCAGTTCCAGGAGGAACAATCTGAAGCTCTTCTCTGACAAATCCACGATTTGGACCATCTTTCAGATAGTAGAGTACAGGCTCGCATCCATTCACAAGTGATTTTTCGATATCATGGACCTTCAGAGACCAGATTGGATCTGTGGCTCGCCTCTGACCACCTTCCAGCTCACCAGCGGCAAAGAGATATCCCACATTATTTGAGGATTCGAGTCTCTTTTCCTTTTGGCAAACTGGTCTTGAAAAAGTCGTTGAACTCTTTGCGTCAACCGAATTGTCTTTGACTGGATCCACAGGTTCCTTTCCAGTCAGTCTTGTCTCTTCGCTGTTCAAAGCCAATACAACTTCTGGAGGCTTCTTAACCCATTCGGTTGATCTCTTTCCCTCTTTGAAGTCCATCTCAAGACTACACAGGGAAGGGAAGAAGCTCACCCAAAGTTCGATTAAATCGCTCGACGATTCCCTGATCTCTGTGAACGTTCACATTCCCTCTTCTTATCCTCACATCATGCTTTGCCATTCCTCTAAGCTATAATTCTCAAGACAAATACTTCTCAAGACAAATACTTCTGAACTCTTCAAATACATCTGCAAGCAAGAGAACGTCTGTCTTGAGATAAAGGTCATGGTAATCACCCATCGTCTTCATTTTAAACTCTTTCCAGACCTTCTGCGCGTGCTCATAATCTTTGTCCAAAATTCCACAATCATTCAGCTGAAAGTAGAATTTTTCCTTTGGAGGTAAAGTTATTTCATTACACGTTTCAATGCTATTCATGTAACCATATGGGTACACACCCTTTCTTGAGACCAACTCGATTTTTTCCTTGGATACCTATCACCTTCGGCTTCTCGAAACTCAATTTTGAAACTAATTTATCATGGGGAACAAGCCATGAACTTGAAGCTGTCGATAAAACGAACGCATGCTTGATTTTAACTTCTTTGCCTTATTTATTACTGAAATTCGCAATCATAACATCTTTGCTGAAGCTCATGTACTTTTCCTCATTATTGGGAACACATTTGATGTTTCCTCCGCTTTTGCCGAGATTCTTAACCAATAGATGAGAGTCAGAACCAGCCAAGTTGTGAAAGATGACAGGAGTGAACTTCAGCTTTTCGAATTGTAGGCTGCATATATAGTGAGCTGCTCCACGATACTTCCCTGTGAAATGGCAGTGGTCCCTCGCTTTGTCAGCCTTCGGCCGGGCCGCGTAGCGGTCTTCATTGGGAGAACCCTTACAAATCCAGCAGTGCAAAGCATTGTTGAAATCACGCCTATCTTCATCCGTGGCAAAGTTGAATTCCTTATGAATATTTTTGATGTTTTCTTTAAGCATTTCAACAAATAACTCTTTACTCTGTAGACAACTGGCTCTTGAGAATAAAGCTCATTATCGAAGCAGACAATGTGTCAATGTCATTATCGAAGCAGACAACGTGGTCGCAGAACACACATGGTTTTTGCTTTTGATACTGACTAGTGAAACTATCATCACTACTTGGCTCACAATTATTTATTGGTTTAGTACAAGCATCAAAATCAGCATAAATCACAAAGGGTACTCTTATTTAGCGGTTGCGATTTTTTAATTTGACTATGCTTTCCTTATCTGGCATCTCGATCCTGACTGTCTCATTTCCTGAGATCGATGAATAGACCGAATCTGTCTCCAGCATAAAAGTCTGTTGCATTTATCGCACTGTTTTCCTTTTCAAATCTTCTTAAGACCTCTTTCCACATATCTCTTGTCTCCATTTCTTGACTGTAAACCTTATTTAGTAATTAAAAAAAGAAGTCCCTTCATTGACTTCCTTGGAACATTGATGATCGTAATGATTGATGATAAGAGAGAAGAACTTGAAGAAGGCACTTCACTCCGTGAAATGAGTGAGAGTAAGAAACATCTTCAACAAGTATTGTTGTCTTCAACACATTGTTGTCTTGGCTAGTGACGTACCAGCGTATTGTCCTTGGTGTCATTTCATCTCTTATGATCAGTGATCATGACGCACGTTACGTTTGTATCAACGTTCGCATCACTAGATTTGTCCCAAGGTATAAATTTATCCGGAACGAAAAGAACTTTAACGCTGATGCTTTCATTGAGGACTTTGAACAGCTGCCCCTAAGTATCGTGTATTCAACCGAAGATCCTGACATGCAAGTTGATCTTTTAAGCTCCCTTATCCGCGAATGCATCGACCGCCATGCGCCCTTAAAACACACTAAACTCACACGTCCTCCTACGCCTTGGATGAAGGACTTGGATAAACAAATAACAACTTCAAAAAGACTGTCTATCTCTTCAGACTTCCGCCCGGGTAAGTAAAGATGAAGTCACTTGGACCCGTTATCGAGATATGAGAAATGAACTAAAGTCTAAGATCAAGAAAACTAAGCGCGAATTCTATCAAGAGGCACTGTCTTCTTCCAAACTTAAAGAGATATGGCAAGATACGGCACCGACGAACTATGGAAGCTGATAGACTCTCTTCCTGAAGACGAAGGCAATTCATTTCACCTTCGTAAAGTCACTTGCAAAGAAGTTCTCTCGGAGTTAAAGAGACTAAGAAATGACTGTTCATATGGTCCAGATAGCATTCCAGTCAAGTTCCTCAAGATGGCTGCTGAACAACTTACTCCGTCGTTAACTCACACACTGAACAACTGCATTGACAATATAACATTTCCATCCGCCTGGAAAACAGCCAGAATTAGCGCAATTCCAAAAGTTAAAGAGATCAAGTCAAACAGCGACCTCCGCCCTATTTCGATCCTTCCTGTTCTGTCCAAAGAATATGAGCGTCTTGTATTACGTCAGATGGTTAATTTTCTATCCTTTGGCCCTGATGGTATTTTTAAAGAATCACTTGGAACGTATAGAAAAGGACACAGTCCACCACTGTTCTTCTTGCTACGAGGGACAATATTTTACACTCAATGAAACGTGGCGAGGTAACCATGGCTATTTTGGCCTATTTCTCGAAGGAATTTGACACAGTTGCCTATGGAACTGTGTTAAAAAAGATGCACAAGGTTGGTTTCTCCAAATCGTACCTCAGATGGGTCACTAGCTATCTTACCGAGAGAAAGCAGTTTGTTTAGATAGATGACAAACTTTCAAGTACCATTGAGGTGGCCTTCGGTGTCCCCCAGGGTTCCATTTTGGGGCCCGTCATCTTCAATCTTTATGTCAATGACTTGTCAGATAGTCTGGAGGCGTCCGTAACATCACACCAGTACGCTGACGACACAACCATCTACGCGCACAGCAAACCTGCAAATATTAAGCAGTGTGAAGACCAATTACAACATGCCTTGGATCAGCTTTCAACTCGGTCAAGTGAGTGCAGTCTTCGTTTGAATACTGATAAGACAAAGGTGATGCTGTTCTCGACTCAACAACTGGCTCGTGTGCGTAAGCTTGATGAATACCCGATCAACCTGCATGCAAACGGTGCTAAATTAGAACGAATCAAAACCACTCGATTACTTGGCACAGAAATCGACCAAAAACCTGAAATGGAACGATGACATTCTTTCCAAAATATCAAAGTGCTACAATACTCTTGCTGTTATCAAGAAACTCAAGAATCTTGCCCCTTTTCATGTCAGGAAACGTCTGGCAGAGAGCCTTGTGGTGTCATTAATCGAGTACAACGATATAGTCGGTCATCCCATTCCTAAGTATCTGACGCAGAGACTCCAACGTGTCCAAATTGCCGCGGCAAGTTTTGTTTACAATCACTATGCGGATATGTCGGACGTTTTGAAACTCGGATGGCTCCCCATTAGTTATCGTCGAGACTATCACATAACTAGGACGATATGCAAGGCTTTATACCAAAACTGCTGGCCAACCTGCCTCAAACTGGTCGAATATAAACCGGCAAGAGCTCTAAGATCTTCTTGTGAGCGTCGCCTTGAACCATCGACTGTTCCTGGAACACTACAAGATTCTGCTGCGATGCTATTTAACAGTCTACCCCAAGACATTAAAAATTGTACATAACTCAAAGTATTCGACAGTAAATGCAGAAATCATTTTATGACATTGGCAACAAGTAGTTCTTAGTCCCACTTACATATCCTGTACATACTTTATGTCTCATGTCAGTTTTACTTTCATACGCGCGTATCTATAATGTCCATAAATTTAACATCATCAATACTATACAATTTTACATAAACTATCCATAACTTATGTATATATATATTTTATTTATATATTATTTATGTAATTATACATCTTGTTGCACGTTATCTATTAATCCATAAATCT